AAATGGCCTATTGACCTATATTTGTGGGTACGGTACTACCAGGTGGCACAAGCTTTCTATTCATTAATACTCCCGTTACATTTACTGTCAAATGCTGCCTTGGAGCAGAACGGATAAAGAATGCCTTCGTTCGCCATAGTCAAAATTCAAAGTTCTGCCGCAATAGAAGCTGGCCGCCGAGAACTCCGGTCTCGCAGTGTCGCAATTGCCAAGTCAGCCCCCGTCACGACGCATTCTTCCTGCGACAAGCAACCTTCAACGCGGTGTAGAACCTCGTCATTCAGAACGACTGAGACGTCGTATAAACTTGCCTTGCTGGCATTCCGTGTAATGTTATACTCGACTCGGCTTGATTTTGCCAAGCGACCCAGAACAGATCTTGGGTGCTCGACCATGACTTCCTCCCGCAATATGCGAGACAAGTAGGGTAGTATTTTGATTCGAGTCAAGAATGCCTCGCATTGCTCGATGCTCCCACACGAATCGATGAACAATGCGCCGATAATACTTTCAGTGATGTCGGAATAGAACTTTTCAGCTCCTAGCTGGGCTAAACTAACCCATGGATACGTATTTCCTGTTGCCAAGCACGCGCAAATCGGCTCACGCAGTTTTTGATATCGCTCTAGACACAACTTCTGGACCGCAGATACATCCGGGTTATCATGCCGCATGAATCTCCAAAGCTCCAGAACGCCCTCTTGAGTTTCCCGAATAAATTCTCCGCTCTGCGATTCGCGAATACGGGTCTGATTGTTTTGTAGCCCGAATTCCATGCATTGAAATGCGAGAAAATGTGCGTTGGTCACCGCCGCCTTTGCTTTCGTCATCTCGTCCTCAGTCAACGGCGGCCTATGCTTGTAAAGTGCATCCGTTATGATCATGTCGAGGATAGCATCACCGAGGAATTCAAGCTTTTGGTACGATCCCGTACTAAGGTCCCTTTGCCATGACGGGTGCGTGAGAGCTTCCCATACAAGGGATCGATCAAGAAACTGGTAGCCTATTAACGTGTCAACCTTCTCTTCCAAGTCTGGTCCCATAATAAAGTCCCGCTGCGAGGGTCGCTGAGGTGCCAGGGAAGGCATTCGGCCCGCGACTTCCGGTATGAACACGTGGATCATCGCCCAAGCAAGCTGCATCCCGCCGTCAACATAAGCTGCCCCTACTAGTGCTTCTAATGTATCTGCAAGGGCTTTTCCAGATACTACACGGTTGCCCGCGGGCGGGCAAGGTTGGTCGGAAACCCTTGGGACAGTCCACTTTCTGCTCGTCATCGGCTCCGTCAATAGAAACGGTCCCAGGCCTGCCTTTAGAGCGGCGTGGGCGAGCGATGCATTGGATACTATCTGGCTTTTTCTCTGTGATAAGTAACCCTCGTGCCACAAAGGGTGATCATGGAACAGTTGGATGCACACAGCGAATTTCAAGATTCCATCGCCGAGATATTCGAGACGTTGATAATTGCTCGTCCATTGAGCCGAAGGAGCCGTAATAGCATCTGCAAGAACTCCAAGGCTAATACAAGGAAGGTGCCCAAGAACGGAATTCCTCAGGTGCGCTGCGATCAGGAGTCTCTGCTGTAGCTGCATCAACGCGGAGAAAAGGAGACTTGCGCGGCTCAATTCCCACGGCAAAAGATCAACGGTGCATAAGCTTGCGGGCACCTGTTTTGCCCGAGACTTCCCACAATCCGGGTTTCCCCTGTCGAATAGCCGTTGGCACAAAGTGCTTTTAAGCAGGAGGTTCCTTCTTCTACGAAAAGGCTCGCAGCAGACCAAAGGTTCGGAACCATCGTCCAGCTGGATCCATCCAATAAAATTGTGGGGCTTATTGTACAGAAGTTCGCATCGGACGAGTCCCTGTGGTTGAGAGGAGGAGGATTCACGGTACCAGTCCATGCAATTCCGCCATCCTCGATTCTCTACCAACCATGTCTCAAGCTCATCGAGAGGGATATCCGGAGATACCAAGACATTAAGAGCATCGACGGCGTCGTCGCTGGGGACCTTTGTCCTTGTTGACGACAGCAGAACGGATGTAGTCTCACGCATTAGCTGCAGCTCGGCCGGCGATATACTGAAACTCTCCAGGGATTGTAAAGAAACGACGAAGTTCGTTTCACTGTCCCAGAATAGCTCCAAAGGTTCTGTTGCAGGAAACTGAACGGATGTTGTGAGAATCATTCCAAGTTCGGGACGATCTTTCCCATTCTGTGATATGCGCATGCGGCTTCTATGTAGTTTATGACCCGTCGAAACAGCTAGTTGCTTCCACGGGTCGGAGATAGCCTCAAGAGCGATCTTCGACGTCAAAGCGGGTTGATCGCCTGCCGCATCTCGCCAGAGGCGTTCCGGGGTCAAAGGTAGGAAATGATCGTTGACCAGCTTGGCTCGATGCAACACAACATATGCATGAAATGCGGCATCTTTTCGTGCTGCACGCTCTGTGAGCCACCACTTAGCTCCTGTCGCAACGCGAAGTGACTGGTCTACGCCACTGGGAAGTGTCACTGTGGCTCGGACATGGCCGGCCTCATTTTGCTCGAAGTTGAACGATGGGCGTAGATCAGCATGCGGTTCCAAATTCAGAGTGGAGCAGAAATGGTAAAGGTGAGAAACCGCAGAATCGGCGGTCAGCAATGCCCTGGTTGAATTGTTATCACTACCCCCAGACAATCGCTAAGATTGAAAATACCAACCCGTTTTGTAGTCTCATACGGAGAACAACATTCTCCGGCATGTTTTCCAGTGCCGCGATCTCCTCTAACTTCCTCTTGTGGTCCCTGTACAGCCGCACCATTTCGTCTTCGAGTTCCTGCCACCGCTCGATCCCTTTTGTCATGTCGTTATCTGCGATCATGATGACAAACTTTGACTGCTGCTGCCGGGCGCGGCCCCGCCTTTGGATGAAAGATTTGAGATTGTTCGGTTGATCGAAACATACAACCAGATGGCAAGCCGTCATGTCGATGCCTTCCTCCAGGACATCCGTTCCAACTATAAGATTCATCTGGCCCTGTCGGAATTGTTGAAGAACATCATCTGCACCAGGTCCTAGCAGGTCACAAATGCCGCTTTTTCTGTTTCTGTTGTTCGACGAACCTACGCACGATGCACACTGGAAAAGGCCGTGGGTAAGAGGATGGCATCGTATTACAGCCGCCAGTACGTAGGCCGTTGCACGTTCACGGACAAAGATAATTCCCGAGAAATGTTCATGGTGCTCCTCCTTCAAGAAAGCCAGAAGGCGGCAGACTTTTTCTGACACTGTGCTAGAGGAGCCAGGAATAGCAGGGGCCAGCTGAAGAATGGGTCTTACTATCTCTGCTAAATGTGCCTTCGCAGGGTCAGCCCATAAAGAATCGGTCATTCCGGCTCTTCCGACCAGTCTTTTAACTGATTCTGCAATAAAGCAATCGGCAGCCCATGTGCCCAGCAGGTTGCCGATCCCAATTGCCTTTGCGTGGAACTTTTCCAGCTCGTCCTGGACCTCCCGAACAACTGAGTGATCGGAGAGTTCAAGATGAGACTGGGCACGAGAGTGGGCCTGAGATATAGCTTCGAGAAATGGCGAGGGCCAGGCGCGATTTAAGTCGTCAGGAGCGGCATATCGGAGTAAGATGAGTTGCGGTGGGTGGACATATTTCATGAGGTCTTGTCGTTGTGCTCGAGGTGTTCTGCAGACTGCACTGAGATTCCGTTCTATCTGTCTGCACCCGGGGAATGAGAACCCTTCTCCTCATGGCTTCTACACTAGACTTACGACATGTCATGTAGCTTCGTTCTCATGATAGGGCTGGCGGTCAAGCCAAGGATTCGCGGGACAGACTCGGGCCCCTGCTCGTTCTTTGTGGGGTGGTAGAAATCCTTCATAATAAGATTGGCAGGATGGTTTTTAACGCAATGATGGGCTAATCACCAGTCAGCCAAGTGTACTGAATAGTAAACATTATCCTTACCTTCGTCAAACACAATGAGGCCCAGCTTTGCCATCACCACAAACCTGTGGGCAAGAGCTTCCGCTAGCACGGCGTGCGTAGAGACAACAATCCGCACGCCGTGAAGGGCGTCGTCCCAAATCCGCTGCTCACTCCAACGATCAACTCCGTCGTCTCCGATTAACAGTTTGATATTCATTGCCGGGATATGAGAAGCGATGACTTCTTTCTGCTGGATCGAAAGGGCGACAGTGGGGGCAAGGAACCAAACTATCTGAATATGTTTGAGACTGAGAAGCCGTGGAGGGATTAATCATTCAAACCTTATCCAAGGCACAGCGCTGCAGCTCCGCCATTATTCTCATGCATGCTCTATTTATTTTCCTGGTTATTCGATCCTGACGAAACAGAATTCAGGCGTAATGAGGCGTACATATGAGTCTTCCCACTTCCCGTATCCATCTGGCACACTGTTAGCCTGCGATACAAGCAGTTTTCCTCGTCTCTGAAAGAGTAGCATACTACAACGATAATATTCTCGCGTAAGCTCATTTCTAGCATTTCTTGCTGGTAGCTCCGAGGCCGGAATTCGTCCATTTTCCTTTCTCTCCTGTTATGGTTGCCTTCGTTTGGTATGACTTAGCAGTTAGGTGAGGGAGAAGAAGTCATAAAGTGGGTTCGTAATCTTTATATACTTCCGCGGTGACAACAGAATACGTGGCACTGGAGCAGTAATTCCTTGCATTCCCATTCGAGTTACATACAGCAAGAGGTCATAGGCAGGCTACCTTCATTCCTTAGAAGCTGCGAGCAAGCACTTATATAAGCAACAGTGGACTAAATTATCGATCAGGCGTGCACGGTATGAAATTCGGTGCATTATTTGCCGCTCGGATGACGTTACGAATATAGCAGTTATGCTAAGCCTACAGTCACACTGCGTCTCTCCGACAGTATGATTTACAATGCATACCCATTTTGTAATAATTTAGTTTCAACTAGGAGACGCAAATGTTGCTATTCTTCGTTTTGTATATCAACTACCTCCAATTTCGCCTAGCTAAATTGATTCGTCTGCGGGCGGATATGGACCTGTCATAATCTGAGCATGCCTTCTCAACCCGAGAAGGGAAAGTAGGCTCGATGAGTTCTTCGGGTACTCCAATATTTGGCTATCCGCAATTTCCTCAAGTTCAAATACCGGGCAACGCTCTACCGGAAATTCCATCACGGCATCCACGATTCTCTCGGCAGCTGCGCTGAACTGACGCAAAGCCTCACCTTGGGTGCGTGCTAGAATGGAAATGACTTGCGCAAATGTTGACTCGCGCAGAGAATGAAGCCTAAATTAGTTAGTGGGGCAATATTTGGGTCTCAAAGTGCTTACTGATTGTCCGAAATGCTGATGTCTGGTCCTCCAGGTAGGTCATAATGCGGCATCAGTGCAAGTATGCCTTTGCCGAAACTTGATGTTAACATATGAAACTTCCGGCCAAGCTTGCGATAGAAATTTACAGCACCACGCTTGTCGTCGTATTCTTGTGTTCCAGGCAGTAGAGCAGGGAATATCTCCTTCATCATTGCTGTCGTCAGGTCATTCTCCGCATTGTTCAGGGGGTTTCCCCTTTTACGAGAAAGGACACCGTTTCCCTGGACTGAGACAAATCCTGCGAATGATGGCGTATCACACCCTCTGCAATCCTCAAACAGACGGAGGATGTAATACCGTCGGAGAAGGGACAAGCACATCATATCTTGATTCATATTCTCGATTATATGAAACGCTTCTGCTTTGGATGCTGATTTGGATAGTTGCCAGGAGGCAATACCCGTCTGAGTTCGCCACCCTAGAATGGCCTTCTTCAGAATTACCACTGATTGTGAGGTAGCAACACCAGTAACAATTTTTTGGGCAGCTCTGTTGAAGTATCTTTTACCAATTTCGCAATTTCCATGTGGATGTCAGGAGCATAGTATGATTCTTCTGGGGCGGCGATTCTTAAGGCTCTGCATTTTTCGGACTCACGAGTAAGGAAAGGTTCGAGCCGATCGTTGGTGAAGCGCTGAGACCGCCTAACCTTCGCTTTGCTGCCCTGGGTCTCACATGGAGCGCTTTCAGCGGGTCTTCTCCTGGGCACCGCCATGAAGTCACCTCCAGCTTCGATTTCCTGCTTCATTGATAAGGGAAATCATATTTGTCAGCCCGTTATCCACCATCTCAGTTTGGGGAAATGCATGTTAGGGTCTATACCAGTGACACCACGCTCACTTGGCTCGTATGCACATTCGATAAAATATTGCATGGGGCTGCAAGTGGATCCATAATAGGAAACTGTGCTTCACAATTCGCGTTTGATTCCAACATTGCAGGGTTTATGCCGTCTTGGTTTTGGATGAAAAAGCTATTGTACTCGGAAGTCAGCCAAGTCAGATTGACATAGGACATACCCGACCCTATATAATTCATAACGCCCCAGGTATCAGAATGATTCCCAGAGTCCAAGTATGCCGTTGCTATAATTGCTGCAAGGGATTTTCCGACAACAGTTGTACTTCCTTTTCCAGACCTGGGATTAAATCTAATGTGCTTATCGATTGATGTGCGTTGAGCAACGAATGCTAGATGGTTGTAACAACAAATTTGTTGTTTTAGGACGGCAGTTTCCCCTGGTGTTCCACTGAGAAAGATCCTACAAGGTTATCGTCCCTGGACTCTTACTTGGTTTGGCCTTTTTCTGATGTGCGTCAAAATCCAAACAAAGACCGATTACGTCCACGCCAATTGGTGCTAGTCTTCTATTTCCCTCATAATTATCCGAGTCTGCACCGGCTGCTGTGAGTGCGTTTGATAGGAGTGTGATATCCCGGAATCGATACTTGAGGATCCTTTGAACCTCTTCAAGATGCTCGTCGCGGTCCATGTGGTCTGAGATAATTGATCTGCTTGAGAATGTAAAACTTCATCGGACCAGTACTACCTACCAAGTGCCCAAGGCACAGCATGCTGTTTTATATATGCTATTTGCGGAGTCGCGCACGAAACAAGCCACTCGTTTTGGGGTCGTCAATGTGGCGCTTTCCACCACAATTACATTACTGTACAGTAGCCCTACATTTTCACATGCATAGCTACCTGACCTCCATACCCAGCACACTTCCTGAAGACGTCTCTTATGTTCTCGACCTTCGTCACACCTACCAACCAAGCAGCGTGGCTGAGACGACTACGTCAGGAGACGTATTAAGAATAAAAGCCACTAGCAACTCATCCGCATATCGAGCGGGGTAGTTGCATCAAGCTCAACCGAACCGTGGGTCTGATGATCGGCAAATAGTTTAACCGCCCACCAAACAGTCATGCTATACCACTTTAGGTATTAACAGAACTGCGCCAGCGTAATTGCCACTTTTGGATCTAGTTGAATCCGCCAGCGAGGTTAGCCAGCACCCCCTACCAGTCGGTGCCGTACGTGCAGATGTGAGGGAGCCGTACGATAAGTTGTTGCCCAGTTATCTGCAGCTATGTCATCACATGGAATCAGGTCGTACCAAAATGAGTAGATGGAACGCCCAGTATACGAATCCAGATTCGGTGAATAGACGGTTCATCTTAACGCTCCCAGAATCCTCTCTCTTCTTGACGTTGTGTGTTTTGTATTGCCACCATAGCGGTTAACTCATTCCTTCCGTTGCGGTCCTAACTGATGGAAAAGACTGACACGAAATTCTTTACCGCGTATCCGAATAGGTCAAACATAAGTATTAATTAACTCAACAGCCTATTGCCAGAATCCCCGTGGCGTTGCCTTTTGAAGAGAGCTTAGTACACGGTCATGGCTCACTCTCTCCAAAAGCATACTTTCATACGCGCCAAGTTCCCTTTCGATCAGACCAAGAACTTCAAATTCATACTTGTAGCTTTCCACGTCTTTGGAGCTTATGAACAACATGCCGTTTTCGTCAGCAGTAATAATGGCGATCGTGCTAAAGAGGGCCAGCAAGGACTAGACCTTGAGGAAAATTCAGACCGATGGCAAAGACAGAAGCATGAGAAACGAGCTGCTGCTTGACGCGTCCCAGTGCTTTGAAAGACACTAGAAGCCTGATCGTTATGACAACCGGTTCTAGCGGGGATCCTGTGGTCACTTATAACTTCCCGTACAGCTTCTGCGATATATAGTCTAAGTCCTATTCGTCGAGTTCCAGTCGATGTCCCGTAGGATCAAACTTTTAGTTTCCATCCTCAGACGCGGCTTTCGAGGCCTAAGATTTGACGTCCTGTCGATAAATAGATGGCGGACAAAGAAAGGTGAGGGATTTGAAGAAGGCTGTAAGAAGATAAGGTTATGGGACATGAAATGACGCCTGATAGACAGAGCGTATTATAGATTGCCATGCCTATCCATGTGACAGAGCAGCTACGTTCCTCCTTGGTTCGAACTTGGCAATGCTCTAGTAGGGCAGGAATGCTTAGGTAGATCCCCTTTTGACTGCTCTGCAGGACACAGCAGTAGCCTATCTTTCTCCTCCGTTTCTTGCATTACGAGCAAATCAATACCTTCTCTCGTTATGGGGCTGGGAGCGCTAAGGCAACATAGTGGCAGAGGGTCCGCTCGTCGTTTTCTGTCATGCATTTATTGGATGACGAGGCCCTGTTGCGAGAGATTTTTCTCTGTTATTACCAAAGCTGCAGCATATCAAGAGTTCCCTAGGCTGCCACACTGCCATATCTGGTCCTGGTCGCCAGGTTTTTAACCAATAAATGCATAACAGGAAACCACGAGCGGGAACTCTGCCATTATGTTACCTTTGCGCTCCCAGTTCAGAAAACCAGGTTGCGAAGACTCCTCCAGAAGAGAGAATCCGCGTCTTATCGGAACGTAGGCTCCATGTACCCTTCAAGGGCTTGAAGTGTGCTATTATGGGTCCAGATCAGGCGTTCGCCCCGCAGAATTAGAGAATGGGGAGAAGAGTAGGAAGGAGCGACCCTGCTATGGTTTAAAAGGAGATTTGAGTTTCCTATTCGGAGATTAGTACACTGCATTACACTTTCCCCGGGTTGATGGAGTAATTATCTGCCTGTAAGGAAGATCCATGTATATCAGCACCATCTCAACCCTTTCCTATACAGACTTGCCCAGTCGGTCTCACTCAACACGTATTGTTGTCGATAGAAATCACTACCTGATCAAACTGGCAACCTGTATCTTCCTGACAAATAATGACACAGCACGTGTCAGCAATTTGCGATATGGTGATGATTGGAAGTCCTTGTTGTGCCACCATCTAGACCCACCGGGGCTAAGGAAGTCATAACATAAAAAGGCGAACAAAAGCGATAGAATACCACCTTCCGAGTCTCCAGCCTTGAATTGTCCGTTCGAATCTGCAATTTAATAAACTTCTCATTGCTAGCTTACCAGTGTCATCGCTGCTCTTTCAAATAGTCATGGAGAAAAAGGCCAACAAATGCGAATCGTCATATATTGAGTATGTTACTTGTTCGAGAAAATTGACGTATGTGACAGTAACCTCGTGATAGTTTTCTCGATTCAGAGCTCGTTTCTCTCCAAGCTGGTCATGCAGGACGTTTATTTAAAATCCATCGAAAGCTGCTCGGCTTGAAATGCGAACCAGTGATTGCTGCCTTGGATGGGAGTTTCGATGAGGGCCGACAGGGAATATACAGATTTGACGAAACGACAGAAGGAACAGTTACACGCTTCATTGAGTGGGCATACAGGGGCGATTATCCTACTGTGATCAGCGAAATCGAGCCCGTCCAAAAGTCACTTCCGCACGGTATTGAAGCAGATGTCGAGGATAAGCCTATTATTGCACCCCCAGCGGCGGATTTTACTTCCGAGAACCATCCACTATTGGTCCACATACGTCTGTATATCTTCTCAGGGACATACCTTATCCCTGAGCTTCAGCATCTGGCTTTCGAAAAGGTGACTGCCTGTTTCATGGATCTGGAAAAACCAAATCGTCTTGATACGCAGCTTGCAGTTATTGATGCTGTGCGGCTGTCATATCTCAGACTCCATGAGCATGACGCTTTATTAAACTGGCTGAGCCAATACTCTGCATATTGTATTGACAAGCTCCGGTTGCAAAGCTCCTTTCACGATCTTCTCAGAGACTTTCCAATTTTGAGCTCACGAATGATGCTTTCATTGAATCCGGCATCATCCCCACCTTGGAAAATCACGCAGCCAAAATATCCGTTTACCCACTACTCTCCCAGTCGATCGGCTGAAACTAAGTACGATTACTGAAATGGTGTGAAGATACAGTGAGTGGTCAGTGTGTCTCAGTTGCAACTATGACAGAAAGGTGTCCGTGCGAATCAATGAATGTTCTTATTTTGCAAGCCGTTGATAAATCAATGCGACTCGGTGCCAGACGTAAGGGACACAGGCATTCAAGTCTCCTCATAAAAGGCCAGAGACTTTGCAGCTCGCCATGTCATAGTTCTCTGTATTTAGACGAGTAAAACGCAAGCATAACTCTCTAGAAGGCTACAAACCCTTTTCTACTAGAAGGCTGCAATGAGCGGTGGACATGTGGGTACCATGAGATCGGCGGGACGTTACAGAAAATAGGACTTATGGTTAGTGACCTAGTCTAGTAATCGATGAGATGTTTTCTCAACTTGACTCGCAAAAGAAAAAGGGCCTGAAATTAAGGAGACTAACTGCAGCGGGACTTCTTGCCGACGGTTCATGCTCTTTCACTTCAATAGGCTTCCCTAATAACGAAGTTACACTAGTCCCAGTGTAGCTTCGTTATTAGAGCTAATGCCGACAAATCCCACGGAATAACTTTCACAATGTCTGTTTTCTGTATTCCCGCAGGGTACATAAGGCGAAAAGCAACGCTACGTCCAAGCTTGCGGGTGCGATTGTTGTCTGTGTTGTAAGTGTTCTTCTTCTAACCTCCGTTGTACTTTGGTTTTTGGGCTGTAAGCGTACAAAACACCAAGCCCAACAAGTCCTGGAAACTCGAGACAAGAGACCGGGAGTCGACAACCTGTGAGGATGGGTCATAGATTCAGCGCTGACCAGCTAATTGTGTATGGCTATGCGCCTCCTCAAACATATTTACATGGTTGTAAGGGATTTTGAGTAACGTTATTTGCGAGTCCTACACTGATCTAAACCTCAGCCCATGTACTTAGTGCCTTCATCTTCCAACATAGTATTTATCTCTTAATACAAATCTACTTAAGAACCCCGGCAGCAGTTACCGTGATCCGCTGGCCTAAGCCACTAACCTGCAGAAATCTTCATGGAACAAGGTTTCACAATGTATGTTGGCAGATGACGAAGATAATTGGCGCGACCAACTCTGCTCTCGTAAATAAATTGCTCCCCAGATCAAACATCAACACCATAATATGACATGACATCCACAGTATATTGTCGTCACCCTTAAGGTTCACTTCAAATTGTCAACATGCAAAGAATTTGCAGTGGTAGTAAAGGCACCCGCCTCTCTAAAGTGCCAAGTAATTCGGCGACAATGAGATAGGCTTTCGATCTTATTCTCTGCTGTGGGAAATTTACAGCTGCAACCTATCATTACAGCTAACTAAGCACCGCTAGCCCAAGGCAAGAAGTGATTTTGGAGGCTTGCATAGCGCCTGATCCTAAGTGGGGCGGACAGTTGATTGTAGTTGATCATGGTGGACAGCACCTTGACCTGAGTGGGTCCGAGAGTTGATCGTAGTTGATCACCACTTGACCATAGTTCACACTAGTTCTAGTCTCAGTTGGCTAAATATAGCTGCACCGGAAAAGAATGGACGGCCGAAGGGTTGATCACAGTTGGCCCAGTTAAACACCATTTGTGCACCATTCTCGGTGGGGTCAGCGTAAATAAAACTATCCATTCATCCATCCATTCTCGGTGGGGCGTTCTATCGAGCGAAACCAACATCACTCAATGATCAGAAAATCCTGACGGTATTACAGTCAGATCTTCAAAGTTTAAAGCGGACCGCACCATCTTTCCATTCCTGCAATGGAGGGTTTTGCCAGACTAATCATCTATCTCCAGATCTCCAGCATTCAATCGCTTTTACATTTACAGTAAGATGATATAATCAACTTTTCAACAATTTATCGTCTATTGCCTGTCAAATAAAAAAGTAAAAAAGTGGCAAGGTACTGTTACCCATAGTTCAAGTCTTTAAAATTAGAAACGCACCCATCACCTGTAATACGCGATGATCCCCACGATTATGCAGAACTACTCTCGAACGCGCAAAAAGCTTCCTGAATTATCTTGGCCCGTCTCTCTAGTATAAATTAGGTATTGCATAGCACTAGCACCTAAGGGCTGATTTAATAAGTTGAGACGCGAAAATATGTGGACTTCAAGCTAATTCTTTCCCTAAAACCAAAGAACGTTCGTGCCTAATATATCATATAGAACATAGGACATTCTAAAAATCCGTTCTACAGAGTATGCCCTAAGCTTGTAGCCTCGAAGCAAAATTCCCATTATTAGCTCAAAAGGACTAGTACCGCCAGTCGTATCTAATCAGAAGATTTTGTGTCGTAGTTCTTTAAGGAAGCCATCTGTTTTGGCTGCTTGCTTAGGGAATATCTTTTGGGTTTCTCTGGTGTACTTCTTGAGCGCGGCTTGGTTAGGAAATCTTCGAACAGTCGCTTCTGTGCGGCGAGAGTCAATTAGGCCAAAAATATTGACATGCACTTTAATAAGAGCCTTTATAATTTAGTCCCGCGAATCTAAGTCACTGATTATTAAGAACAAGGGAAAACATACCTTTCGGCACTGTGTGATGCTAGTAAAAGGCCCCTCGAGCCGCAGTTCCTGACAGAGAGCCCGGTAGTTTTGGAGTTTATTGCTGATCTTATAATAATGCGTAAACTCTGTACTTGCGAATTTGACCAGTTCTTTTCTGCATCTCTTAGAACCAGTACTCTAATTCATATGATGTGCTAGACGAGAAAATTCTTCGGCCGTAGGAAGAGACGGGTTAGGCTGGAAGACTGGAAAATAGGAGAAAAAGGCATCCTCTATTTCCTCCTAAGTATAAATAGCTTGTGGAGCTTAGAGTGTGTGTTGACTCAGTAGGGTTTACTTGACTATCTTAAATAAAGCTTAACATTCTCGTCCTGCTCTTTGTTAACGATGTTGAGGTAAGTTAGAAGATTGACTCTGGAATACCAGTGGCTGCTTAACTTGGTATCTTTGCATACTTAGGAGAGATAAGACGAGACCACTGATTGGTAGCGGTTATTAAGTGATGTATCATACGCGCACAGTGTCTTCCTCTCCAACTGCATGCATAAATGGTTGTGACGTGTCTTCCCCAATGTGGCAGCATAGAACTGCTTTCTCCGTTGAGGTTATGTGGATGTAAGTTATTAACGGGCCCACCCAAAAAGAGGCGGATGGTCAAGAAAGGTAGTATGCAGCGATAGTAAGCTGTATGATATCCGTAACAAAACCAGCTGGCGCTCATCGAACAGATGATCCCGCTGTACAATCGATGCTTTACTGCCGGCCTCTCCAAAATTACAATGGTCGTCGCAGCTTCTCTCTGGAATAAGGCCAAGAGAAAAAGAAACCCTGAGCTTTCGACAGCACAGTAGAAGCGCTCAATCACTACACAAACCATAAACCTCTACCATGCCTTGCACAACTGCCATGACTGTCTCGGACTGCATTAATGAGCTGGTTTCATTATGGCACTGTAAATGGACAACGTTTGATCTATGAGTTGTTCCAAGTCCTTTCACCACGGTCTCACGTGAGCGGGGTAATGACTAGCGAGATGCCAAGGCACTCGAATAGAGAACAGTATGCGAATCAAAGGGTCAACTTGTGATGGAATGATAACCTGTAACCTCCTTTTTTATCAAACAACTCGAGACTGCTGCTCAATACTGCACTTTTAGCTTTCCAGACACATTCTACCTCTCTAAATCACGATGGCCTGCGTGCTAGATCCAGGGATCGATCAACCAACATTCGATCTGATTGTCCAGCTACAGCTCCAAGAGACGGACCTTTATTTCGAGTCTTCCAAAGGAAAGTCACGCGACCCTACAGATGAAGAGTTGGCCTTCCACTTGCAAAACGAGGAATGGAGAAATATCTCAGAGTATCTGCAGGATAGGCGAATGGCCATGAGTTTCGCGACTGCGGTGCAAGCTGATGGACATGTTCTGGCCGAGACCCAAGTCGAAGAAGAGAATGCCTCAAAAGACCGGATTATTGCTCGCCAATTGACGGAAGATAGATGTAATGTGCTTCCAAGTGAGCTTGAGTCGGAGTCAGCGGCTCTGGATGACGAGACCTTAGCTAAACTTCAAATCTTATATGTCAATAATATGGAAGACTACAGCTTTACAGGAGACTTGGACACAGGAGAGAGTGAAAATGAGTGTGCTGAATCGTCTGCCCGGGTAATCCAACGAGCTGGTCACTCTTTACCGCGAGCCCGACGATGTGTGGCTTGCAGGGAACTAATCGATTTCGTGAACGTGTTTCGCGCTCCCTGTCGGCACGAGTATTGTCGGTCCTGTTTAGCAGATCTCTTCGAGTCTTCTATGACAGACGAGTCTCTCTTTCCTCCGCGATGCTGTCGGCAACCTATAAATCTGACCACTGCTCGCATATTCTTGAAGTCTGATTTAGTGGAGCAGTATCAGAAAAAGAAGGTTGAATACGAAACCCCGAACAGAACGTACTGCTACTCTCCCAACTGTGGTGCATTCATCGACATATCTCATATCAGTGGTGAAGTGGCCACATGTCCTGACTGCGGGCACACAACTTGTGCAAACTGCAAAGGACGAGCACATACTGGTGACTGTCCCGATGACTCCTCCCTGCAACAGCTACTAGCAACCGCACAGGAAAATGGGTGGCAACGTTGCTTTTCATGCTGGCGAGTGGTGGAATTAAGTTATGGTTGCAACCATATGATGTATGTGGCATTATTCCCTTTTCCCAAACCCTTTATTTAATTTCATTTCATTTTATTCTGTTCTATTCTATTTTTTCGTGTTTCTGACTTATTTATTCTTTTTTCTTATTTTCTCTTTTATGCGTTTTCCCACAATTGCAAATCTAACGGATATCGACAATAGCTGTCGCTGCGGTGCCGAATTCTGTTACAATTGCGGACTGGAGTGGAAGAAATGCGAGTGTGAACAATGGAATGAGCATCGTCTCCTTGCCCGTGCATATCAAATAATCGATCGAGAAGCAGATCAGCCGGCAGCTGCGGCCCTCCCACAAGATGCCGACGAGGCCCTTGTGGAGGGTCAGCTCGTACCGGAGGCTCATGAGCCTCATTTTCAAACTCAGGAGGTGCAATCTGAGGATGTAATTGTGGCAGATGAGGAGCCATTTGCAACCCTTCCTTCTCCCACTACTCGGACAGCACGAGATCTTTTGGTTGCAAGAACTATGCAAGAGCTCAGAGACAATCACGAGTGTGGGCACAGCAAATGGAAATACTTACGTGGGCCGCATCGATGTGAAGAGTGCTTTCATCACTTACGCGAATATATATTCGAGTGTCGCCAATGCCGGATTCAAGCATGCAATCGTTGCAGAAGAAACAGACTCTGACCGAAGTGAGAACAAACACGGGTTCAAGAAGTGAAGGTATTTAACTCATAAAATATGTTAAATAGTGCCAAGTATATTTAAACTCTAACTGTATACAGACTAGTTGCGAGAAGGCTAGGGTTTAAGTTTAAGTGAGTCTGAGGTGGGCATGGTGGTTGTGCAAATGACTATATTGATTCTTAAGTATGTCCAAAGTATTTCTGACAAGTTTTCTCCATCCGTAGTTCGTCTGGCAGGGACGTGAAAAGTTTGTCAATTTTTTGATCTATACAGAATTCTGGGGGTTGACTTGGCAAGCTGTTGTATATCCCCTGTATGACGGGTACCAACCGGCTGTTTCCCAGTCAATGATGCCAATAATATCATCACCGCAGACAAGAATATTCAAGCTGCTGAGATCGCCACGAGTGAATACGATAGGCCAACCACGATTGTGTTGTCCTGAGTTTCAGTCAAGTCTCGGGTCAAATACCATGCCAACTGGTAAATGGTTGATGGAAGCTTTGGACACTGAAAAAAGGCCATAAATGTAGGGAATCGTCTGGTGAATGGCAATCGAACAGAGGTCCTCTACTAACAGAGGAGACCTCTATATCTTCTGGAAGCCGAAGTTCCTGCATTTTCTGGATCATGATCTTCAGTTGTGTAAGAAGCTTCGTCTTGGATTCTTCGCTTTGATTGACCCAGCCAATGCTGATTATGTCTTTATATTGATCCTTTCCATCACGATGTAGGAACAACCTTCATGTGTGAAGGTGCAAAGATCTTCGGGACTTGAATGACTTGTTCTGGAGGAATATTGCTATCTTGTCTAGGTACAAGCCAGGCTTTTTGAGAAGATATTTGTATAGTGCTTCCAGTATAATCAGTGTTATTGATCTTGCTTGCTCAATTCGAGTTGGCGGCGCTCTAGGAGAGCTGAAGACTTGCAGGTTGGAGCGGATATATTTGACTACCTGCTTACTGCATTCGACAGCTTTAGCAGTTTTCGAGATAGACATGCCGCAACTCGTTATAGAGCAAATAAGCTGGACCTTGATAATAATAGGTGTGGTGCCATTGCTGTACTACCTTTGGCAATATATTACACACACACACACACACACACACACACACAATTTATCAACGCCCGGCGGCTCAGCCGAAAGGGCAACTATCACTAATATATCAACACAGGTTCTAATGTACATCTGCTGTATCTCCTTCGAGCCCATACATAGATCCTTTCAGTATGTGTCCTCTCAGCTGTCAATATCGTAGGAGCAATATAGTACAGGCTGATGATGATGATGATGATGATGATGATTCATACGCTGACCCCTCGCCTAGGGCGACATGCAGGATCCACTATCTATACTCTCTATGTACATCTTTGAACGTGAACTATTACTTTCCTGACGAACTTTGAGCCTCGTCAAGGCCTGTGTGGGCCGGTGCCTGGCGTTGTGTTCTGCCGCTCTCGTGGCGCGCGACTTCGAAATCTCTGCGATGCCTCCGCAAAGTCCAGTACCGCCCCGAGAACGCTGCTGTCTGGCGGGACATCTTGTAACCTACCTCCCCTACCGTGGCCTGCTCCTCCCAGCATATCTGATATATTATTGAATGCTCCTCCAATTTACCGCCGTAGTGTTTGGCGCAGTGTGCTAAGCCGCGGGCAGTCGATCAACACGTGTACCACTGTTTCTGTCGCCCCGCATTCGCACAGGTTATCTTCTTGGAAGCCATGTTGTTTTCTATATGTCGCCAGCCATGAGTGGCCTGTGCGAAGTTGCGTGAGCAGGTATGCTCGATTCCGTGGGAGCGAGCCGTATAGATGGCGAGACCTGCTGGACGGCCGGCGACGACCAGCAGCATCTGGCGCCAAAGGTAACCGTCAGGACCGGTTGTTTGCGAGACCGGGTGGATACGAACGGATCTAGAAGCACCGAATTCTGCAAAGAGAGCGGAAGCTTCACAGGGTACATCCGACATGTATGTAACGTACCCGGGTGATCTCCCTCGCCAACCGGTAGAAACCCGTGGGTGCCCTGGCGGGCCCACACCGGTGGCAATCCTACTTGCTCAGCAGAGGGATATCGGGGCGCCCATTACATATAGACAGAGCCTTTCATTGCTGAACAACTCTCCACGGAGAACTGGTGGCTGACGGAACCAACAAGTGGGGGATGGGCAGCGGCAGCTGACACGAGGAAACCACCGGTAGGACCGGTTGGCTGCGGACTGGGTGGATACTTGATCAAATTTAGCAACACACCTACCATGCGGACATGCCGCGATGGAGGTCGCCGAGAACCATTGTTGAAAGCACAAAGCCGATGCCGTCCCTTATACTGCTGCTACTGTAGCATGGGACTCTAAGGCACTAGGAGAGATAGGACTACATACGAGTCGGGCGGCGGCCCCGCCGTAGGCTGGAGAGTCATCCTGTCCGTAAAAGATGCGAACTTGAACCATTAAGCAGCCCAAAAGGCCGACTAGCCCAGTGCCAATGCCACTGACGTCTTTCTCCCCTACAGGAGCAGGCCCGATGACATTGAGCGACAGTGTTGGCCAAAATTAGATTCCCTCATTATTCTGACGTATCGTAGCAGGATCACTAGCTTTACACATTATATTAGCCTTATGATCCCGTACGTACGCAGCCCATACAACACTATGTTTTCCTACTGGCTGTCATAGTACCTTAATTCACGTCATTCATACTATTATATTTATGTCGCTTCTTAGTCATCTTCAGGCTCGTAAACATTGCTTTCCGAAAGACAAAGTCACGATCGATCACCGCAGCTGCCTGAACATCAATAGCCAATACATTCATGTTCTTCGGGGCTGATGGAAGCTTTCAAGAAAGCAGACTTGGCAGTTTCGGAACATATCAACCCAAGTGCCTGGCACTCCAGCTCCAGCGCAACCCCGACATAAGCGGTGAAAACACAAAGCAAGGAACACTGATGCCTTTGTTCCACACCGGTCACATTCGTGTGTCTCCAGGTTTCCCATCGGCTCTGTGGCAGGTCTATTCCGCTCAGTGGCGACCACTCGCCTAGCTCGGGCCAGGGCGTTGAGTTGCAGTTGACAAAGCCGTCGTAGGTTGCAGAGTTCTTGAAGTGTCTGCGGCAGAACCCACATCGACCCTGCACGAGTCTGGCCACAATCCCTGTTCGAGCCTCTGAGATTCATATTGCGCCTCATCAAGGGCTTGGTAAAATTGTGTTTTGGTCACACGCCAATGGGGGTAATTTCTTGTTTTTTCTGAGCGGTGCCCTCGAGGCTGCAGCTGTCAGTTCCCTGAAATCATTGTTGTGTGAGGGGATGAATTTTTGTCTCAGCCGGAGGCTCAACGCCCGTTAGAGTGTTCTTCTGCAGCAGTAGATACAGGGTGTGAGTTGGAGTAGCAGAGCTGACTATAACCGAGAAGACAATGGGGAAGGAAAACTGGGAATAGTCGAGCTACAGATCAGCTGTCGCGGGAGTGTGTACTTCCACCCGATATATATTCAGTTGAAGCCTGTGAAAGGGTAGCACCCCCATGTTCTAGATTTTGAGACTTGTCACAGTCATGGCAATTTTGCGAATTACGGACCGTTAATATGAACCCTGCGGATGTTGGGATGCACTTCTTCGGCTAACCCCGTTCGCTAAATGACCGTTGAGCTGATGATGTCACTTGAATAGAAAGAGTCCTCGTCGCCATAATTAATAAAAATATGTTGAGTACCATTGACGTAAAGGGAACCAGAATAGTGGTCGTTGTGCCGTTTCCTCCCGTTCTTTATCTCGTATCCCGCTAAAAGTCAATAGACGAAAGGTGTATTCCTCCTTTCCGCTGCGGTCCTCTCAGGCCGACATTTAGTAGGTAAGGAAGAGACATTGGAGGATCAAGTGGTGTGGGCCTGTTCCATCTACGGTAGTGCCGGATGATGCTCTACGGATTACAGCAACCGAACCCCCGGTCTGGAGCGGCAAAAAGAAGCCCGCATGCAGGGCGCAGCTGGAACTCCGATGGGTGTCTTAGTCTTCGAGATAGCGTTGGACTAGTGAAAAGCCCCGGTTACTTATTATGTCGATGGGTCGCTGGTTACAGTCACAGTCGCCGGCTTCCCTCCTACTGTCCATCGCCCACGGCAGTTGACGATGCCGGGCGGCGAACGCTTTGCTTAATCACACCCGATGATTTAAACGCCGTCTCGTCTTCAATGCAGGGACCTCCTTCAACTCTCCGTTGATAGAGCGAGATGGGAGCGGGGTCATGACGCCGACTGCTGGCCATCTTCCTAGAGACCCGGACATCCTTGTCGTGGAGGCGTGGGGACAAGGATTCCTGATGGGCTCGCTTATCGTCATGATCGCCATCATCGTGGCAGAGGTAGGTTGCACTGTGTGATTAGGGCGAATGGGGCACTAATACCTGCTGATATGGACGCTTAGCCCGCCCTAGCCCTCGGGCATGGAACGTTCATCTTTCTCCATGCGCCTGCCCAGGGCTGGTATCTTTCGGTTACGGCCGTTGGTCTCATAATTTCGCATTCCCTCCATAACATGATTGCATGGATGAAGATTCGCGGCTTCTTCACCCCTTGGGGCACGCTACTGTATCTGATCACCCTGCTGGCGGCCCAGCCGTACTGGGTCGTCGAGATCTATGCCAACTTTGCCTTTTTCAACCGGGGCCAGGCATTATATACCACCACTCGGCCACTCGAGCCGCTCTTCCGGTGCGGTGTCCGAGTGCGGTCCTCCTCACGCTTCGCATTGCTGATGCGAATCTAGGGACCCTTGGTGGATCTTTACCACCTGCTTTCTCCTGTACGTCATCCAGCGTGGGTATGGGTGTTCGCTGGTGCAGCTGATCCGCATTAGCCCACGTTTCGGCGTCATGCTCCTGTTCATGGTTTTCCATCGTGTTGCGGTGGTGGACATGTGTGCGATCCGGGTCGAGAACCGCCTAGGTTACCCCCCGGGGATGGAGCCGTTCTGGAAGGTAAACGGCCGTCACTGACGAGAGGAAAATCAGCACTGACCCTGCTGTAGTTGGCGTTCGTTTTCAAGTACCTGAGCGACACCATCATGTTGGACGACTTCCGGGGCGCTCTGGATCGACTGCGCTATCACTATCACCCGGACGTGCCACCGCAGGAGGCCACGCACGCTCGCGGTCGGAGTACAAACCGGCCTGTGGACTGTGTACCCGAGGCGTCTGTCAAACGCCCCGAGCCAGTATGTCGGCCACCGGACATGGTGTAAAGCCTGCAGTATCGTGTGCCGGCACCAACGGGCACGGCGTAACTTGATTTACATGCTGGATCCGCTGGGTACATCCGCTATGCATTGGAAGAAATGTTCTCTTTCTGTCCATTAATATATATGTTAGACGCTTAGTAGGCAATTGGAAGGCTTCTCTTTTGTAACAAAATATATAATGATGAACATGTGCAACTAGTTGGGAGATATACGGAAAGCGGAATGTGTGCAAACGCGTGGTCACGTTACTTGGCGTCACGGCCAATTGGCCATACGTCTGTTTGGCTGCTTGCCCCCGCCAGGGCTAAAATAATTAATTAGTTAGCGCCAAACCGATGGCTTGCTGAGTCATCCAGTCCGAGAGTCAGGAGTCCACATCGTTAACCACTGCAGGCTTAGTGGTATCGGGGAAGATAAAGGGAACACTCGCAATGCACTCTTTGGCCCAAACGGGAAAAAAGAAAAAGAAAAATGGCTTGAAAATATAGAACGCCTACGACGTCGTCGCCATGGTGACGTTGCCATCGAACGTGGGCGTCGCGAGGCGGCACCAGACGTGATCTGCCTCCCACGTCACACCAGGATGCGCCGATCATCTTCTAAATGATTGAACGCACGGTAGAGCTTCGATGGGCTCAAATGCTAGGGATAGCACCAGCAGGGGGAGCGGTGCGACACACGTTGGTGACACATCCTCACGTCTTTGTTTCGCGGACATGTTGGAGATCCACTTCACCGAACCGCGGGTCACATTAATCAACTGCGCGGCTGATTCGTTCAACCACGAGCGTCACCGGCGATCAGATGTAGCTAGTTTGTTTAGACAAATTAATTTCTTTATCTTGGGATCGACAGACCAGGTTGCCCTCGCTCTACTACGGCCAGCACAAACATTCACTCTCAATTGAAGATAGTTATATACTCTAGATTCGAGCAGATCTTAGATCCGGCCGGACAAGCTTGGTGAAAGACAGTAATTCTAGGCGACGCAACTCAGACCTTGTCCCATTGGTACCATCCCGGCCTGGCTTGAGAAACGTTCGTTCCGTTGTCCTTCGCCCGGCGACGTTCATTCCGACTCCATGTCCTTGTACCGAGCTGAACGACGGGATTTGGTGTGAGAGATCAGGACACTCTCAAAAATGCCGCTCACTCTCCTGTGCAGGCGGTGATTTTCCTGATTTTGATCCTTCACCTGTTCCTCCAGCTTTCTATAGCTCTCAGTCAGTTCGAGGTTCCGTAAAATGTCGCTTGATAGCGCAACGGAGATAAGCTTACCAGACTCTGGTTTCGAGACTTGAAGAAACAGATCAGCACAGTTCAAGAGTAAATGACGGCCGGGTTTGGGACATCATAGGACGGGACATACTCGCAGATCAACACCGTGAGAGCCTTTGTAGACGTATCAGCCACATCATTAGAATACTCAGGAAGCTCATTTGTGAGCACGCTGTCAACCTCCGACATTGCATCTCTGTCGCTTGCACCGTTTTCATGGGTCAAAATGCCCTCACCCAAGACAGCCTGGAACTTCGGCTTCCTATCATCTGGCGGAGCTGATTCAGTGTCGTGTGAGGCATTCAAACAGGTACCGGAATGCGATTTCTTCTCAGCCAATGCCAGTACTTTCCGGAGTTCGTTCAGTCGTGGCAGGTGAGTCTTCATTGTTGTCGGAGGGTACAAGTGATGATAGGAGGAATGGGATTTCTGTGAGATGTTTGAATACCGCGAAGGCGAGAGGCCCCAACCTAGGACGCACATAATGGTTTATACAGTAAAGGCTGGCTGTCTTGTTGACTTATAATCAAGGTGAAACCATGCACCACCCCTGTGCGAAACGGTCCATCCAACACAAGCCCGGAGTTGAAGGTAACATCGAGGCCATTGTTCTAGGCATGGGCAGACCAGGGGCCGAGTGTAACCTCGCCGACCCTTGTGGCACTCAACGGTGACCTGACGACGAGTTTCTGCGCGTCCAGGACTTGCAGAGTTTTTTCATGATTCAAGTGTCTGCTCTTCGGGAATTCGCATTGTGCCAGAAGCGTGTAAGTGCTCGTCAAGAGTCATGGTCAAGGCAGATTCTGGCATGGGCCTCGGTCGTTTGCGGTTCTACCCTAATTCTGAACGGTCCCGGGGGAAGATTCTTGACTGACACCTCGGGGTGCGCTCACGTCGGTCGGTGTATCTACAGAAGATGTACCACCGCCCACAGGGAGAACATGTGCTCTGCATCTCTCACAATCCAGCTCTTGATCATTTGTGATGTCAGAGGGACTCATGCACTGGGAAACGCCCACGTCGATCGATGGCAATTTAGCCCGGAATGCAGCACCATCTGGAAATGCGGCAAAGGAAGTATTTAGGAATGGCTTGATGTAGAGGTTTCGAGAGAGGCCTCATTCACCCCATGCATCTATGTATACAGCGAGGGGAGGCCGACAGGAAAGTAAGTTATTTGAATTCGTAGTCTTGTACCAAGCAGGCTAGCCGCAAGTCCGTCGTATTCGTCTCTGAGATCTAAGACATCGCAGCTCGGTAGAAACCCCCACGGTATGCCCTTTCAGACGGCTGACCATTTAGCGCGCAATAAAGCGGCTGCAATGCTCGACGAGGAAACCCAATGAGAGAGGAGAGTTGTCCATTGCTTAGCATTTGTCCAAATCTGATTTCAAGGACTCATAATACTTCGAAGAACTCTCGTCAAGGTATCAATAGGTATCAATAGGAAGGGACTCGCCTGTGATGGCAATAATGTTAGCGGTAATTCAGCCAAGGGCGCGGGTAAATTTACGTCCAATGAAATTTGTTAGCTCTGGCATCCTCGGCTATTCAGAAGTACTTTTCCGACGCGTCATGGCTACTTTCTTCTCTGGAAAGCTGTTTTACGTAGTTCTGACCCCATTAGACTCTATGTTACCAACTCTAGGTATCGCCACTAAATCCTTGGGTAGTATCAGTGTGCTTAGTAGATTTTTCGAAAATGGAGTACCTCTGACAGTCCGAGAAAATGCATCAACAGAAGGCAACTAAACCATAGTGGGATATTTGATCATGAACCAAAAAGTTGAACAGGGATCATTCTAAGCGACATTCATCTGGGTCACACTCGCAGTTGACGATTCTCCACTTAGAAAGGGCCATCATGTTAGCCTGGATACTCGAACTCTAAAGTCGCGCCAAAGATGACCGGTCTTGACTAGTGCTTACTCGGCCCAAGCGTGGATTCTGAGCCGGTGCTTGTATCAGCCCCTTTGCAACAGCGGTACGAATTGCTTTCAACACACGTCCAACTGCACGCGCTCAACCCGTGCGGCATGTTCAACGGTAACTGCAACTGAACCCATAGCCGGGAAGCGCTAAAAACACCGATCTCAGTTAGTGTTATCGTAGCTCTTACATAGCTTCTTCCAGCGGTTTAAGGAATCCCACGGATACCGCCTCTGTCCCCGAAACCTCCCATCCTATGCAATAGCATTTAGTCTTTGAAAATTTGCTCTTTACGGACTCTAAAAATCCAACTTCACTTGTCCTAGCATGATCGTCGAGACCGGGCATTGGAGCTAGCGCCCGCGGAAACCAGATCGCTAAGTCTTCTTATGGCTTCTACCTTGACGCAATAACATTCAGTTTGCCCTTCTATACCAGAAAGTAAGTAACGAGTAAATAGTTGGCACAGACTTAATAGTAGGGACCCGCTACAATTTCATGCTCACCCGCGAACGCCCTCTATTGCCTTACCCTCAATCACCAGCCGGAAATGAAACACCTGTATCCTTCGATTTTAGTGTGGACTTCCTTGTTTGCCACTCCATGCTTCACATGCCCATGTATAGTGCCTCGCAACTATTCTAGAGTAAGTGCGGACAGGTGTTCTGTTGCTAAGTGTCAAACCCTAGGATCGCTTCCATGTCCCTGTTAGCCTAGCTATACTAGAATATGTACCGTCGAACTGGGTTCAGGGGTCTTCAGGCTGAGGACTATCTAAGATACAATTGGCCCTGGACAAGAGAAGAGAAGTAGAGCCAAATAATGCCGCGCAACTATTCGTAAGTACGTGCGGACGAGTGTTCTATCGCTACGTAAACTCCCAAATGTATGGTTACGTAAGGACAGGTGCTTTTGAGCACGAATAAACAAAACTAGCTAAGTACACGAATGAGTGTCCTAAAATACCCTATCCTTCGTATACGTTCCCGTATCCTTCCCTGTATACCCGTGCCATATACCTTATACCGAACCGTATATCTTGGCGTATATGACGGTATATCCGTGTCACATGATGCATGGCCGTTGTGGGAAGTGAGTGTATTCTTGCCTATTGGGTGGCCCGTACGCTCGCCTTATCGAACTAACCAGCTTACTAGCTAATTACTAAGAAAGGTCGACCAATGGGAGCAGGGCGGTACCGGAGGGCAGTATATTCCGACAGCCATTCCAGAGTTGTTATTAGTCTCTGCGTCGTCGTTATCGGCGCATTCTGCCTGGCGTGTCCGCTTCACCTGTCAGGTTAACTAGCAGGGGTCCGTAACAAGCATCATCCGGATGGCACTACAGCATTAGGCAGAGCGACCATGGGTCATGTTATCTGCACGGCGATGGAGTCAGCTAAAGGGCTGGAGCTGCCATTTTCGGCCACAAATAACGCTAAAAATGGCCGCTCCAGCCCAACCGAAATTTTTAATAATGCAGGTAGATATTCAAACCGCTGTATGAGCAGATGTGTTGAACAGATGTGTTGAACAGACTTTCAATGCCATCCGGGTGGGTCAGCTCCAGCAGCAAGCCAGCGATTCGGAACATCATCGTATCCTCCGGTCTTTGCACCGTCAATTTAACCTCTCTATTGACCCCAGTAAGTAGTTCATCATAGGTTGATCGGACCGTCCGCTCAGCAAATTCAATGATTGAAGGAAGCATATATTCACCATGCAATTGCATGCCAGTATAGTCGACGATCACGACCATTCATAAATAAAAGCCGTTTTCCCAACTATCCTTATCACTTCATCATCATTCCAGATCGGCTCTCAAGCAATCATTCTTCATACAACTTGAAATTTACCTTCTCGCGAAAATGTATGCCAATCTCCAAGTGCCTACCACTCCTCGGGCATACATCTGCCCCGGTTGTCAGCAATCTCCTCTTTTACCTCGAGGCCCTGGAGACCAGCTGGCTGTTTGTCCCAGTTGTCAAAGAATATTCAATCTCGCGCATCCAGCGCAGTTTTTACCCGTGCAGTTCCGGCCGCACGGGGGCTACCCTTTCCCGCTCCAACAACAACAAGCATTAGGGCCGCAGCGGCCTTGGACATCACAACAAGCCTTGGCACTACAGCAAGCTATAGCTGTTCAAAATGCAATCGCCCAACAGCAGCTTTCCCCGGCGACTATAAGACAGCAGGAAGCATTATACCAACCGGAAATGCGACAAATGATTGGTCTTATGTGCCAGCAGCAACAAGTTCTACTGCAACGCGTAAATAGTCTGGAGCAATGGCAATCCCAGGTTGTGGCCCAGATGTCGTCGGGCGGAATGCCGGGCGCCAACTCCAACCACTCTGGACAGAGCCAAACGGAATGCCAACAGCATATTCCAGCTATTCAGTCGGCGCAGCATGATACGGTGTCAGACGTGGCGCAAACAGACCATGTGGTGCACGTGCCGCTGGCGAGTCAGGCTCAACATCAAGGAGAACAGAATCAATTCAGTCAGCGAGTGTCGCACCGTAGGGTGTCAAATTCGTCACAATCCAAACACGTCCCAGCGTCCCGCCAAGGTCATAACCAGGAGAGCCAGAACCAAGCCGTTCAGCCAACACCGCGCAATGGCGGATTGCAATTGACGCAAACAAATCGCGTTTCGGAACAGATTCACCACCAGGAAGGGCAGCAACTATCCCTAAAGCAGGAAGACGAAAGCCAGAACGAGAAACAATGGCAACAATGCCCCAGTAAACCCAAGCCCGGAGTAACCGGCGGTCATTCATTGATTAGCGTCTAAGGCAAAGAGGAGAGATCACTAGGAGCACCTCAACCTCAGGGTCCGTGCCTCCGCGATTAGAACACGAGCGCCAGTGAAGGGTCTCTTCTTTATTGGTTCTGCCAATGATAATGGAACCTTTGCAACAGACCCGGTCTATCTCATAGTCGGGGTGATCAAGCAGGAATAAAATGGATGTTACCTTGTGCGATTGGTATGGGTTACTATGGGGCCCTTTTCGCCTCGTCTTTTCCGTTTCTGTGCTGGCGACCTATATAGGTATATGGGGAATTCTTGCTTACAGCCCTAATGGCGCAGGAAAGTGAGAAGATTAGACTTTACTAATAGCAGAAAACGAGCAAGTAACACTGAGTTTCGTGGTGTTTCCAGATAATTGTGTGCAGCTGACTAGGTAATCATAAGAAGTGGAAGAGATTGGCTTTAGGTTGCAGATGGACAATTGAGACGTGTTGTATGCCTCTGAGGCTCCTCCGGAGTATAATGAGAGGCTATCAATCCATGATATTGTATGTATGATGAAGCAACTTCCAATAGACAGATTCTTCAAACACAGTGCCACCTATACGGAATGAAATCACGTAGTGTACAATAATCGATCGAGCGCATTTTCCTGACACTGGATATTAATCAGTAAATCACAATGACAGAAAATCAAGTCCATACTAACCGTCTGCCAACACATCTTGTTATCCCGTAGCAGTTCCTGATGACTTCTCAGCTTTACAACCTGAACCCATATCTGCTCTGGCTTACACCAAAGACAAATGCCGTGTCCGCTTTCGGTATAGTAGCCAGTATATGCGTAACTGCCCCGATCGTCATACATCCCTTCGCTGCCAAGCGCCTGAGTACTGCCTGTACCTTTTTTTGGGACTAGGGTGCAGATTCGATGTCGCTTCATCGAGTAGAGGAATGGTCTGCGTACTAATGCCTGCATAAAACCAGGACGTTGTCGTCGTCTTTCACCCAGGAATGATTGAGCATTGATGCCCGATAGGTCGACTATCTATCCGGAGACAGGTAATAGGATCGTGAATATCTGCGGCCTCGCACGCTTGAATCAGATTGATCTCGGTGCACTCAGAATTGCCGAGTCCGAGGGATATATTGTTGCGGATGATTCTTTCGAAGAGTCGTGGTTTCGTTGATAAGGACTATCGGCTGGTAAGAGTTGTAGAATCTCTCTAGTAAGATATCATGGTTGTCTTTCCGCAGCCGGATGGATTGACAAAGGCGACGAATTGGCCACTCTCGAGTTTGACTCTCGAATTTGACGTCGAGGTCCATGAAAAGAAGTGTATCCTGTAATGGGTAGCGGAAACGTTATTGAGCCCAATGTCGGCTTCAGTGCGTGTTCGCAAGGACCATGGCTGAGCTTTAACAGCCCGAGCATGCTCTCACTCCGCCTCCTTCGGACACAGATCCTGCATGCTGTATGCAGATGCTATCGCTTGGGCGACATGTGATCCAAAGCTGGAGAACTGCCGAGTAGATTTTCCGCCTTGAATAGTTCGCAAACTAGGGAAGTATTCTGTCGGCTGGCACTTTTTGCATGCGGGACCTTGGCCAACGTACCTGCCAACATTGTCAATGATCGCCTACGCGGTCCCGCTGGAGTCTAAAATATCTTTAGATTGAGTAATATGTCATCCTTCGTTTCCTCGCAGACCTCGACCAGTATGCGGAGAATATAAATAGCCAGGACTGCGCAATCCCACATCAGCAACACCGCTGGCTCACTGAACACTCGAATAACTCAACTGCTTTAGTTCCCTCCAGAAACTAAGACCTTGCTTTTGTCATTGGCGAAAACCACCCTGGGTCTGATACCGACGATACCGTTCGACAACGTAATTGATGGAGTCGATCACGAAGACTCGAATGCGCTAGAGCAACAGCTTGAAGCAGTATTCAAGATCGACAAACATTTTGATGCCATGCTTCGCCTGGATGAGATTGCTACGTTCATGGAGCAGCTGAATCTTACCACAATACTCAAAGTCCCCTTGTGACCATCTTCCTCCAGAAGCTGGAATAGTAGGAGGCATTTCCTTGACGTTGAATCGGGGTATCTAGTCTGAAGATGCAATTCTCGCCCGGGCCTATTTGACCTTTAAATATGAGAATTTAACGAGTTCGCAGAGAGCCCTGGTCAACGTTTCTGTCCAACGCACGTACGACGCAAGGACCAGTTGTTGTAAGGAACAACCTTCGACGATTGTAGTCCTTGGCTCTAAAAGGACGTGAGGTGGGTACCAGAGCGCTGCTGCTCACCTCTCACTTGTTGATTAACTTGAGCCAGATCAAAAACATCGTGGCAGTCGCACCTGCTCTTGTTGAGGCGGATGCCAACCAAGTGAGCTCCAAGCACTTGAGCTAGCTGTGAAATTGAATAAAAGATTCCGAAGGAGTTCAGTCAACGGGGGATGGTTGATGGAATGTACCTCTAGCTGCAAAGCCTGGGAAGGTCATGTAGATAATTCCACTGCCCAAGCCTGCTGTGCAGCCGCACCTTTGCAACATTTAGGGTTCGTGTTGCAAAATGTGTATTAGTACTCGGTGTAAGTTAAAGCCACGACGTCTTGTGTCGGAATGTTTTGCAGCGTTTCCGAACACATTGTTACAAGCTCAAGGTACTGCCGTGTTGCAGAATTTCCACCCTTTCCAAGCCGGGCTTAAATTTCATCACTCTGACGCGGCGAGTTTGCCGTGTATTCATAGAGACGGATTCAAGGGCCCTGGGACATTTCAACCATTTCATATCCTCCAGGTCAATAATAACCAAGCGGCCACTCAGATCATCCCACAGTATATTACACCACTTACTGTCGCAGTGGATAACTCCACGCGACCGGAGCACAGTCAGAGCTCTGTCGCGTTCTTAGTGAAAGAAGCAGAAGTTCCCATCATGAATGGCATGCTGAAGCCGCGTTCCAGACCAGCTTAAGATCATCATCTGCGTCATTTTTCAGCCGTGGTACCAATATGCCACACGAGGCTTGAAGTCCCCAAGACAGACAGGAATATATTAACCAGATAAATTCCTAGAGAGGTAATAATTATCCACTTCAGCTTAAAAACAACACTGCTTCTCCACAGGCATAATTTTTACTTATCACCATATATCCGCGGGAAAGGGGGGTGACTTTAACAAGATATCAGTATCCTGTCCAACCACACATGTGCAGCTGTTTGAATCCAAAATCTTAATCTTATGCTTAACAATGAAGTTAATATGTGAACTGCTGCAGTCCGATAGAGTATATCTGGCTACTGTAGGGTCTCCAACCAGGGTACTTTATATCCAGAGATTCTCGGTCAACCAAGCCTCGGATGCAGGCAGTTGTGCAGCGTGATCATGTAGGATGCCCATCTTTTGATAAGTCTGTTTATTATCCCGCGCGGCTCGTATCCTTTCACTTCCCTTCGGTTATTACCTAGGTCGCGGCTCGGTCAACTGCACAACACTACTGCGGCAGATAGCAATTGCAATTATTACTCACTGCCGCTGCCTTCAGTGGACGAGTGTTTCAGTGTAGATATGACTGGTTAACAACAAGCGCGAGCGCGTGTATTGTGCATTTTCCGATCTCGTTTCCAGTGAGAGGGCCAATAATTAAACATCAGCAGGTCTCTACACAGAGTTTAGGGAATTTCTCTCAACTTGTTGAGAACTTCGACTTTCCAAGTTATTAGCTGGTCGTGTGCCATAACGTGCCATCGAGTCGCAGGCCCAATGGCCAGCGCTTGAAGGGTGAACGCAGGCACCTGACCGATAGCGGTCCGGTGGAGGCGCAATTCACCGTCCGCCTGCACATTTGATTCGGGATACACAAGAAATAATGAATAATGGTGGGATTATCCTTTGGGATATGAAGGAAAACAAATGCCTCCCCTGTGCAGATGTAGCTGTATCGAACGCCACTGTCGATCATGTATGAGAATATCTGAGTGACCATGGCCGCGACCAGGCGGGCAGCATAGAATTCAAATGTCTTGCCTTCCTGGTCAATGACATCGCGAGGTCTATCGGGTGTAGACTAACCACCCCGTTAATTCAGGGATCATCACTTTGTGCGGCGCTTCGAACTCCACTGCATACCCAGGTATTGCCGTTCATCCGCCACAAGGTGCACGCAATACTGGTCAGCACGCCGATTGCGTCATCGCGCAGTGCCATCCCTTGTCTGTCTCCGCGCGGCTTCTCTTCCTCGTCCTCAGCCTTTTCCACGCCTCGTATTCGCCGGTTGTTGGGGTGTCCGCGTGTCCTTGAGATTCATTTGTTCTAGGCTGTTCTCGAGCGAAGTTTCCGACAGATTTGCGTGATTATATAAGGTGACTTGGTTTTGGATTCTAAACTCATGTTAAAAAGGTTTATTATCTCACAAAGTCTCAATGATCTTCTCAAGAAAGTTGTCCACCGTGTCTCGCTCAATTTCGAAGAGACGCTTCCGAATAGATTAGTCTGTTCTGGATATTTATAACAACATAATCGATTTGGGTATCAGAGGGGAATAGTGGGCATATAATAAAAATATTATTACAGTTAAATTTATCCCAGATCTGTTCCTGTAGTTGAGGAAAGGCACGCTAAGGGATGATGTACTTGGAGTAGAGTCAGTTCACTGAGTCAGCTGTGTTGTCCTGAGTAATAAGGGTGGTATCTGCCTCAACTCAGATTGCTTGGAAGAGAGAATTGTGGCAGTAATCAAGGAGGTGAAACAGGGACTTGGGTTATACTCAATATTCAGCATCTTCTCGCGCCTGTCTCTCTTCTTTCTCACGGCATTCTACCTCTTCTCGCGCCTGTCTCTCCTCCTTCTCATGGTGCTCTGCCGCTTCTCGTGCTTGTCTCTTGTTTTCTCGTGCCTGTCTCTCTTTCTCCTCACAGTACTCTGCTGCTTCTCGCAGCCTTTGCTATTCTTTAATCTGATATTGTAATTCAGCTATTGTTTTCTCTATCCTGTTTTGAAAAAGTTACTCGGCTGATAATTAAGTGAAAGCAACTTAACAGCAGAGAAGACTCTATCTGGTACAGGGAATAGAGTTAGAAGAGAATTATATATCAGATTATTTACCAGCTTACTTACTTTCTTTAGCCGGAGTCTATAGATGCCTCAGGCATAAATATACATTAGTTTAGGCTCAGTTATCCCCGTAAAATGCGCTGGTTTGATAATACCTAAATTTACTATAATAGTAGTTAGAAAAGTTCAATATCCCTTCTAATTCTTAACTAATGGAATTAACTATTTCAGTTGCATCATTCTCAATACTTATAATCTGTTTATATAGGTACTGTAGAGGATGCTTCCATTGTATTATCTTACTGAGATAAAATTATATAACCAAGAAATTAGTAAGCAAGTATATATACTTTCTAAATACAGTGAGTTAACTTACCTCTCTCATTGACTGCTGATTTTGCGTAACAGTACTATTATATAATCTAGCATTTGAGGGTTCAATACCACACAGTCATTATCCATTAGATCTTATCAACAGGTGGAGAAAAGTCTGTAATTCTCTGTTTATTTTATACCGCGAGGGTGTCTTCTTACTGTGGATTTTGCTTACCAATACACTTGGCAGCTAATTCATTCCATGCTATTGCTTGGGGTCCTGAATAGTATGGGGGCCTCTCTTATCAGTAGATGAACATCAAGTAGGGACCAACGCCTATCTGTTACTCTTGTGGTAGAGGCTAGTAGCGGTGAGTATTAAGAAACATAATCTGGCCATAGTATTTGAATCACTTTATCATAGGCACGTTGGTATCACATTCCTGACAACATCCGCGGGACTTCCAAAGGTGAACAGGATAGTAAAATAGAAGCAGACAGTTAAAAATATCCTTTAACAAGACTACTATGTCTGCTTTGCTTAACAGTACTCATGATATAACTGCGCGGGGAGGCCATATCTTGGTCATGACTATTAATATCATCAACCAGCTGGATAACGCTCTCCTATGCCCAGGGCGTATTGATATGGAAACTGGCTTCGGCTATGGCTGTCTAGAGACAATTCGCACGTCCTTTACGCAGCCGCCACCAGGTCCTTCCTGGGTGTTCTGGACGCACGGGGACAGATTCGCCCACATTTCTCGCTAGCTTGCGCGGAATAGACATCAGATTATATCGCCCTTCTACCGGCTATATTACAGAAAGATGTTCCACCTTATCGGTACCGTGCAGCAGAGGATCAGAATTACCTTTGGCAGTAGAGAAATCGTCCTATAGGAGCGGTCAGCGATGTTTTTGGCTTCTCAAGCAGACCACAATCGCACTCCCACTTGGACATCGATTGCAAAAAACGTATCATCATTTCGTTCCTCTGACTCACCAGATTGCTTGTGTTCAACAGCCATATCCATAGCATCTGGGTGAGTGCCGTGATCATCTCCCAGGGCAGAGCGCACAACGACGAGGCAAACAGTCAGCCCATATCCTTTTTCAACACGCTTAAAATTATAGCAAGTCTGGATTTTGGGACCGTAGTTGAGGTGGACACGCGTAAAGCGGAGACGCAACCTATCACGCGTGCTCGTTAGGAGAAACACTGGTCTGCATTTATCCGATATTACTCACCCGCTTCCCGTCAAACGACGGAGCCGATCAGATGGCAGTGGGGTGTGACACCGTAATGGATGTCCCTCTAAAGTCGGCGCTTCTAAATTCGATAAGCCGAATCTTTCTGCCTACTTCGGGCAGGTGTTTGGACTCCCAATCTAACAGCAGATTGCGTCGAATCACGAACACACGAATTCGCCTGGACAAGGGAAGAAGAGGTCCGGACTGGTATACACAGATTGCAGGAGAGAACATGAGCATGCCGTTTCAGAATTGGTGGAGAAGAAGCTGTGCAGTAAGAATTCCTTGGCTAATCTCGGGAGAAAAACCAGAATATGTTCCCGGCCGGAATTGCGGAGGATGCATCCTGCCCAATCTTTAAAAAGAACCAAAAATCTATAGAAAATTGGTTGTTTACCTGTAGAAGCACCTCCTAAACCATAGCTCGTGGCAACAAGTCAAAAAGAGTACTTGTTGTTATTTGGTGGGTACGCAGGCTTGCTGTAACTCCCACTTAAGCAAACTAGTATCCGTAAGAAATGCTTGGGTGTACTGTTGAAATATCTCCTGTTCTAATATTATCTTATCCTCACTGGGCCTGGAGATATTAACTCAGCCTCAAACCCGGTCAGTCTTCTTACTCCAGTAGGAGGACTAGGGTAGGGTAGAAAATAGAAAGTCATATTTATAGTAATCTCTTATAATGCTTTGGGAAAGAGAATTATTAGAAGATGGGACACTGTCGCGTGAAAGCTGGCTGCCGTTGATAAAGGTGACTTTATAGACCGCGTACTTTGATGTTAAGTGTGATGCTCTATACCTGATTAGGAACACTATACTACCCGGGCAATTTTACAGATATCAATGTCCTGCAACTTTTCATGGCGCGTACCCGTTCCAAAGAAGACGGTTAAATGGAATACTTGACTGTATCTACCTGGTGAAGCTTTTTAATACTTTTCCACCAGCTCCACCTGCCCTTTTTCTTGGTCTGCAGAACATCCAGATCCCCAGGCACGAGTTATAATAGATCATGATCCGGCATCTCAAAGGGCCCACCACATTTTGGATGAGAAATAGACGGTCACCTACAAGTTCGCCGATTCCTACCAAGACTGATGCCGTATGATGATGGTAGTAAAGTGATAGAGCAGATTTTGGGTGTTCAATTTGGGTGTTCAAGTTTCGGTACCCGGTGAAGATTTGTTGAAATAAATGAACAATTCGGTTCTCTCTACTCCACCGTTCGCGTACCAGCAGGGAAGCCGTGGTTTCAGTTGAACACAGTCCTGGCTGGTCACCTTGAGGAATTTACACCTTGTTTGAACCATAAATCTATCCTTTTCTGACCCAACCGGGCTCTGCTTTGTGCAGAGCCTGGGTAGAGTACCTTGTTGGTGCGAGGTCTTTTACCCAGCTACCAGACAGGTACTCTTCAGATAGACACTCTTCGAGGGCTTATTGTGCACTGCTATCATCCTATTGAATGGATTTGATCTCTGACTGAACATCATACTTTGCCGAGTCACTTGAGATGAGGAGAGATTGGAGTTTGATTATTGTCTCTATGGAAAACCCGCGCATCAATCTCATTGATATAATCCAGGTCAATATTTGATAGTGCTTCTGAGAACAGAGGCTTCTAATAAGAGCTTTCCTTAAACGCCCCGGCCATCTAGCTGAGCTAATCTAATCTCGGTACTATATCAGGTTAAGGCACAGAATCACGGTTGATTATGACAGGGCTCGCGTCTTGTGGTCGGGAATTTATCAATTATTAACAGTCAACGCAACATTCTCTTATCTGACTGAGCCCGCTATGCATGGACTTCACTGTCTGAAGCAAGAATATGACCCGAATTAGAAGCAACGCAGGTGATGTATGTAGAAGTTGATAACACAGGTGCTGTAATAGCACGGACTATCATAGCTGAAAGCAACATGACTACTCATGATAGTATGTGATTAAACTCAGAGAGTACAGAGTCGGGTATTTCTATCGCTACGAGCACAACCGCCTGGCCCTCTTGGTGGCAGCATCCACCAAGGCAGAACACGACGGCAACTTTCTCTGTTCTTCCAGCCGACAGACTCTCGATGACTGAGATATTCCGTCTTGAGCACACGGTACCAGTCAGTATAATTGCCCACCGTTAGCCTCAGTTTGCCATGGCTGCTGGTTCTGCTCGGCCAGATTGCATGGAGACGTCCAGCAGTTTCCTACCAAGACGGGAATTGACCCTTTCGTTTTGGCCTTATCCATCCGTAGAGTAATCCGGAAGGTCACGTTTGATTCTTCACTCCCTCGCAAGCGCAGTGTTTCCAAGACCACAAATAGTGTAATCACACGAGATCTGTGTCGACGCCTCGAAGCTGGGAAATATGCGAGAATCAAACAAGAAAAAAACCTACTACAAGGCTTATACCCCTGAATGGCGCGCAAAAAGCCCTCAGCGGTGGTGCTGGAACTAAGAAAGCCTCAACAAACCTTAATTGAGCGCGCCGGTCACCCTGGCCTAGGAACCCATTAGGCTCAGGTCAGCGAAACAAAGAAAAATTACCCACTCGACGCGATGCCATGTGATCCGCCCATGGTGTTGCCTCATATAGAACTTGATGCTACCTAGGAGGTCACGCTTGTTACCGTGACACATTACTGTAAAGCCCGGGAATCACTCTGGGCGCAGGTGGATTTTTCTCTCATCGAGGGTCTCTCTCTTCTGTCTATTTTGACAATAAGACGTGGACCTAATGAAAAAGGCCGATACAAAGTAATGGAATTCAGGTTTTAGTCATACACGATGATCCCAGTTTGTCCCATTGAGTTTCAGGGGGTGCATTGTCCGTTCTGAAGGTCGGGAAGACGAGAAGCTTCCCAAGGTGAATTTTGAGCAGCTTCGAGTGCATTACTCGGAAAATGACGTCTTAGTGGATTAACCAAGTCGACAGCGGTCGGGTACTGAGCACCGGTGCTATAGAAACTGGAAAGTACAGTAATACGACGAAAGAAGGAATCGGTAGCCACTGTGCTCTGTCGGACCACGGTTGCCCAACTGTTTCCAGGTGGTCGCCACTGAGCCCACTGGTCAGATCTGGAACCGTTTTCCAAGTATCGCTGTGTACCTGAGACGCCCATTGACCAACGGCGCGGTCCCACCAGTCGCGCACATCTTCACCCTGCCATGTCTATGCCGACATTTCTTTTCCCTAGTCGGCCCCATCTTTGATTGAGGACCTGACGCCTTGGGGCCGAAACCCTGAGAGGGCACGGTCATTTCGGGACGTAGAGTCGGGTTTTGCTCTTCGTATATGGTCACCATGTGCCCCTGGACATTTGGTAGGCGGGAGCACGCGCAGAGATGACCGGATACCGTACCCGGCACTTTGGCGACTCTTGAACTTCCTCTGCACCACATGATGGTCCTTGACTTGAATCTGGCGAGGCTGGATGCTAGTGCTGCACGGTTGGTCTTGCCGGGCGACCGGAGCGCTTGGAGATAGAAGGCTGGCGTCTCCCAGTCCTGTTCACTCCAGGACCAGGCTTCCTGTCCACACTCACTGGAATGCGCAAGCGCAACAGTGTGCACCTTCACAGGAATGGCGGGCCTGTGTCGTACGATCTCCTCGGAGATATCCCCTGACAGGAGTGGTGGGCCTGTTTAGTATCATTCTCTTCGGAGATATCCCCTACATGGCCATGGGCCCCATGTCGTATCACTTGTGCCCTGGACCGTTCCCAGATGAACAGGTCCTTTCTGTTCTTAGGACCCTGTTCTGAGAGACCCCAGCTATGGGCAGGCACCTCTACGCGGTGCTGGGGACTAGTACTTGCCAGAGTATATCCACTCATGACGCAAGGAAGCTAAGATCTGCTCGCGCCATGCCGTCGGTTCTTACCAGCATCGGTGCTACATCGTGCATCACGGGCAGAATGGAGGCCCGTATGGAACGGAGGTCCGTATCCGTCAATGCCCGCTGCTAGTCATGTACAGTAGTTAGCTTATGTAATTTTTGTGGTACAGGTCCGCCCGCAACAGCATTCTATATTGTACTTATTGGAGACAGCTTTTCGAACCCTAAGCCCGAAAGTCTAACCTTATTATCAATATCAGTGGCGCTTCCGTATTGGCTTCTATGTAAAATAAGCTAACTAGAGTTGGTAACCGCCCCTGGATTAGCTTCCTGGGTAGGGTTCGAAAGCCAATCTGTCTACAACAGAACATGGAACGCACTTTCGGGAGGGCCGATACAATGTATACAGTATTCACTCGGAATCGATTCCATCTGTAGTATATCCGGGTCCTGAATAACGCAGAGGATTTACGTCGCGAGTCTGCATGTGTCTGGCAAACCGATTGCTTGATCCATACCGTACTCGGCGTTCAGACGCGTTCAACGCCTTCAGATGGTCCGCTCGTCAGATATCGACCTTGGTGACGGGTCATACATGACAGGCCCTTGGGCATTGCCCGTCTTGTCATGCGTGGGGCGGAGATCTCGCAACGATGAGGCAGCCCAGCGACACCTGGGCAAAACCAAAATCTTCGGGAATCCGGAGCCCGATGGTTCGGGGACGGGCAAATCATTCGATCCGACAAGACTACTGTACCGTTCTGGCTCACGTGGTGAGCTTGAGGATAATGACCAGGTAGGGTTGTGTTGTGTTCGGCTGACACAAAAATTCCCCGCTGGTGCTTGGAGGTCACTTGTGACAAACAAAATGCCCGATCAGTTCGACAGGTTCTCCCCGCGCATCAAGACCTGGACCCCCCGATACTGCTTTGCCTTTGGCGCAGCATGATTCGGCTCCACGCTGAAGAGAAACTGATAGGCTAGACGTTATCATGCGTCTTTCGGAATGTGATGGTCGCCTTCTTGAGGTCTCCAATCGACCGCGATTGGGGACCCAGTGCGGGGCTGGATGACCTGCAGAACGCAGGTAGGGCAAATGAGGCGGGTGGGAAAAAGAAGAATAAGTGGGGTAGGGACATGAAAGAATTCACCGAGTAGACATGGTCAAGTTGCTATAGCGTTATTTTTGTTTGGGCGGGGGGAACGCGTGTGTGTCACGGGGATCTGCCGGAGCGTTGATCCGTTCAGAGGATGCAATTTTACCCAGGCGAGCAAGTCTTTTCACCGCCCTCTGGTTGGCTTCTCTAGTTGCATGTTGTTGCCTTGGGCCATCAACATTTGCTGGGGCTCGGGAAGGCCCGGGACTAGTCCTTCTGAGGAAGCTGTCCAGGGGTTCAACTTGATGCCCGACTGAGGAATTCGAACACGCACCGAACGAATATTACGCCCTCGAGTTTCGGTCTCTTGGCTTGGCACGTAGAACAACGAGATCAACACATGGTTCTACTGGCTTCAGAACGCTATTACCCTGAATTACCGGGGAAGTGACTTTATTAGGCTAATTGATGGTTATATGTATTAAGTGTCGTGATATAGTAGGGCAAGGGTGGAATTATATACATAATATTCAACCAACATCAGGAGCATTGAGTATAACAGGCTTTTATGACCGTCCTAAGAGACATGTAAAAATCATAACATGCAATTTTGGATGATCAAGCCACTTCATGAGGTGAGTCACTGCTATAGTAGAGGAGATAAATTGGCTGTAGCATGAAGACTTGGAAGAAAAGAGGAGTAGTGTCGCGTGCGAAGAAAGTTCAACGCCGATTTTTGCTGCTCTCCGTGTTCAATTCACGATTGTACCGACCACACGCAATGACTTGATGGGTCTCAAACTACCTCAGCCAACATATCACCTTGCGCTACAGGCCAGTGTGAAGGGGGCCTCCCAGTAGGCTGAGAAGCGATCTGCAGGAACCTCGCCGCAGACGGATAGAGGGTGTTTGAATTTGCCCAACGGCCAATCGGCAGGGAACAAGAAGCGGGCAGTACAATTTGCCCCACTATGCGGGACCATCATCGCGGAGAGTTCTTTTGCAGCCGCGTGTCTTGGTCTCAGCTCGTGCCTACTGCCTCGTGCGACCGGAGATATGGTATATTAACTGCCACAGCAAATCGATCTTGGAAGGTGCGACCAACGACCGAGACAGAACTCCATGTTCTTTCTCATACCCTGCAACAAAGAAGGTTATCAATACATCAGACTGCTTCGACCGCCGCATGGGGCATGCTCTTACGGGAGTGATCCCGCGGAACTTGACAAACCTAATATATCTCAAACCCGCGACGGTGCGCACATTTAGCTGGGGACTGGATAGTCAATATCAGACCCTGAGTCGACTGTGCAGTCTGACTGTGGTTCTGTGGACGGGCGACGCATGTAGAGGTCAGTAGCCTTATCATCCACATTCTTAGAGGGCTTGGGTCGTCTGAACAATACTCGGAAGGGGTGGAGGTACTGATCAAGATAGGACTAGACTAAGTTTTATGTCGGCCACGGCCCTGTCTCCTGGGGATCCGATGCCTGAGCCGCGATAGCTTCTTGCATATCGGGCGGCAGTGCCGTCATATATCTTTCTCCAGAAGCCGGTATTTAGTCCGCAGAGATTCTTTCATTCTGGGTTTGCGCTTAATTAAATATTTCCGAGCCCTCTCCGGCCAGGTTAGATAGAGATGGAGTACTACCCATGATGGATAATCCTGTTCCTCGCCGGGAGTCCAGGCCCAGTAGTATCTCTTAACCATGCGGAGCAAAAGTGAAATCGCAAAACATGGCATAAGTAGAAGAGCTGCGCATGCAGAGACCAGTATAAAAGGCAAGATCCAGATACAGTACATGTATTGCCTGCCATGCAGAAGACATCCAGGATTGCAGAGCCATAAATAAGAGAAGGAAAGACCAGAAAACACATAAATATAAAGAATTCATTGCCCTGGGGTTGTTCCCTGGTAAATTCTATTACAGTAATGCAACAATCCCCCGTAACTTAACCATGTCACTCACCGGTCAACATGCCCCGTTGCCCAGGGTTGTCCGAGGTCCACAGGTCAATACTACTTTGTGCAATAGTAGCAATGAGGGAAGGAAGCCTTTAGCCACAGGCCAGATAGGTCAGTTTCAGAGACCACAGATTAAACGAACTCTGGTATAGATCAGAGCGAACAAGATTAACTTAGATATTTAACTATTCTGGGCAAGCAAATACTCCACGGCGCTTGGATCCGCAGCAAAGCAGGTTGTCGCAGACCTCAATTATTACTATATCTCACTTGGTCAACCATAGTGACACCGGGTCATGTGGCCAAAATAATCAGAGGGCGGTTATTCCTAACTTTCTTTGCTAATTATGTTACTTAGGATCTATCTACCATTACCAAAGATGCTTACTTCCTCTTGTCAGACTTGCTCATAAATATTTAATTTTCTCCAGCTAATTCTTCCTTCAGCACGGTACATGCACAGTGGTTCTTCTACGACTTTTGTTACCATCAGGAAATGCCAAAGTCAGAACCGCGGGCGGGCATCCGCGCAAGCACCCGGAAGATCAAGAGTCACAGTACCACTTCTGACCCACAATCCATCCAAAGACTAGAGCCCTCAATGTGTTCTCTCCAGCAGCCTCTGCGGTCCCGTCGACGCCCATCCACGGTAAGCCTTCACGTACGGTTGCTGGTTCCTGATCGTTCTGCTGACTCCACGCACCCACCAGCTGGCACAGGTACCTGGCTCTAGTTCTCGAGACCCTCCTTCTGCCCCATCATTGGAGAACCACGAGGCATGTTTAGCTACTGTTAAAATCCTGGAGCAGGAAATTAAAGCATTGGAAAGGGACAAGGAGACCCTGTTGGAGCACCTTCAAGATATTAAGAGTAAGAAGCAGAAGCTGGTTAATAACCAGCATCAGTGGAGACAACAGCTTTCCGAGCGGCAGGAAACTTAATAATTAGTACTTGAAATGCAGCATACTGTTATAGATTGGCACCAGCGACTTTAGAGCCCTGCTAGTTTACCGGACAATGTGGATCCTGCCGCCTTGAGAACTGCTCTACCGGCAACGACAGCGGCGCCGGATATGTGGACTACACAGGAGAACAGGGGGGGTGTATTTGACAATAATCATGATATTGCACCCGGCCCCGGTGACTTTACGCAGTTTCTTCAATTCTAGTTTCTCTACAGTAGTAATTGATATTCTTTCTGGGGCGAATGCGCACACATATACCGATTAATAATGACGGTGCCAATCGTGTCAAGTAGTGCGCATTGACGCCCGCTGGAAGCGGCTTGGGAGCGCCTTGAAATATAGAATTGCATCCTGGGTCTGCAGATGGACCGGGCGAAACCGGGTGATTGTTAGTTGTCTTCTTTTTTATGAGGACCTTTAATTCCTGGCCTAGAATGGGCCCAGTATCCTATTTCCGCGTACGCATCCCGAGAAAATCTTTCGATATGCCTCTGCCATGCTGGCCTACCCCGTCGATTGGTTAGAAATGCACCTTACGGTCGTTCATAAGTACACACTCGACTCAGTTGCCATCTCGCCAGTTTTCCTTCCGCGCGTGGAGTGCACCCTCGGCAACCTCAGACAGTTTTGCAATCAAATCTGGGAAGTAATCCGTCCATACATTCGGACCATCGACCAAGCAGATTATCGGTTCCAAAGTTTCGTGTGGCCAAGAGGTGAGCGGGAGCCGGATACCACAGGAAGAGTAGGGGTATTATCAGGGTCAAACAATATTAATACTGGAAGGATCCTGGATCCAGAGCGTTTTGTTGAAAATATTTCTTGAGGCCGCTAGTACGGAAAGCATACTGAGAATATATGTACTATGCGAAAAGAGGTTGGAGGGTTAGATTTAGATAGCCTATATTATTTCAAGGGCTCATTGCTTTCTTACTTTATAATATCTATTGGTCTCACTTCTATAGACAAAGTCACCCGTCTTCCCACCATCTGACAACTCAAGTCAGGGAATCAAGCCCCAATTGTTCTAGCTTGCGAACAGGCAAAGTAGCCCCACTAAACATAATTTAGCTAGTCCCTGGTCGGCCATCATTAAATGCCCCAAGGATTCGCGAAGTTACACTCAGCCCCTGATCTGCCCATGCCTAGAATCATGGCCTCAATGTTACCTTCAACTCTGGCTTGCGTTGGGTGGACTATTTCGCGCAGGACTGGCACATGGTATCATTTTATTTTAAATTAACAAGACAGCCAGCCTTTATAAAATACTATATAAGATCTAGACTGGGGCCTCTCACCTTCGCGGTATATATATATCTTACAGAAATCTCAGTTCTTCTATCATCACCTTCACCCTCTAACAACAATGAAGACTCACCTGCCATGACTTAACAAATTCTGGAAAGTACTGGCATCGGCTGAGAAGAAATCACATTCCAGCATTTAGTTAAATATCTTATACTATACTAAATCAGCCCCACTAGATAATAGTAAGCCGAACTTCCAGGCCATCTCAGATAAGGACATTTTAACCTATGAGAACAATACAAGCAACAGAGATATAATATCAGAAATTAACAGTATAATTATAAATAAGCTTCCTGAGTATTCTAATAATATAACTGATATATCTATAAAAGCTCTCATAATATTAATCTGTGAGTATATTCTATTTTATAATATACTAAATCTAGCCACCAGTCACCCTTGAACTGTGCTGATCAGTATGCTCAAGTCTTGAAACCAGAGTCCGGTAAGACTATTTCCATTACACTACCAAGCGACATGCTACGGGACCTTAAGCTGAGGGAGAGCTATAGAAAGCTAGAGGAATAAGTAAAGTATTAAAACCAGGAGAATCACTGCCTGCACAGGAAAGTAAGCAGTATCTATAAAAGTATCCTGATCTCTCACACCAAACCCCGCTGTTCAGCTCGGTATAAGGAAATGAAGTCGGAATGGACGTCACCGGGCAAAGAAGAAGAGAACGGATCATTTCTTATACCAGGCTGGGAGGATACCAATAGGACAAGGTCTTAGTTATATTATCTAGAACTACTGTCTTTCACCAAGCTTGTCCGGCCGTAATTGAGATCTACTCGATTTTGAGAGTATGTAGCTATCTCACTTAAGAGTGAATGTTTGTGCTGTTTGTGCTGTTTGTGCTGGCTGCAGTAGAGCGAGGCCAACCTGGTCTGTCAATCCCAAGATAAAGAAATACGTTTAGTCTTAACAACCTTCCACCCCGTAGCTGCTTTGATCGTCGGTGGCGTTAATGGTTGAACGAATCAGCCGCATAGTTAATCATGACTCCAGCGGTTTAGTAAAGTGGGTCTCCATCGCGTCCGCGAGCCAAAGACACGAGGATATGTCACCAACATAAGTCGCGCCCCTCCTCCTGCTGGTACTTTCCCCAGCAGTTAAGCCCATTGAAGCTCCACCGTGAGTTTCGTTAATTTGTCGGAGGTGATCGGCACATCCTGGTATAACATGGGAGGCAGACGTTTGTCGCTGCCTTGCGACGTCCACATTCGATGGCCAGGTCACCATGGCGACAACGTCGTAGGCGTTTTATATTTCCAAGCCAAAAAACAAAAATTTTTTAGTAGTTTGTGCCAAAAAGTGCATTACGAGTGTTCTACTTTATCTTCCCCGATACTACTAAGCCTCGCCATGGTTAACGATGTGGCCTCCTGACCCCTCGGACTAGCTGACTCAGCAAGCGATCGGTTTGGCGCTAGTTATTCAACCTGGCGGAGGCAAACAGCCAGACAGATGTATGGCCAATTGGCCATGACGCCAAGTAACGTGATCACGCGTTTGTGTGGGAAGCGACCGATTGTTCTCCTATTGGGTGGCCGGTAGGCCAGCTATTTAGCTGTAACTGCCTACTAAACAATGACTAAGCGAGGTCAACCCCAGGGCAGGCGGAAGGGGACGTCCGTATGTTCCGACAGTTTGCACACAGCCACACACTATGCTTTCCCGTATTTCTCCAAACTAGTTGCACATGGTCACATTATATATATTATTACAAAAGGAAAGCCTCCCAACTGCCTGCTGGAGGGCCTAACATATCTATCATGAGAGAAAAAAAGAACCCTTCTTCTAATGCGTAGCGGATGTACCCAGCGGATCCAGCATGTAAATCAGGTTGCGCTGTGCCTGTTGGTGCCGGTACACGATACTGCAGGCTTTACACCATGTCCGGTGGACAACATACTGGCTCGGGGTGTTTGATAAACACCTCGGGTACACAGTCCACAGGCCGGTTTATACTCCAACTGCGAGCGTGCGTGGCCTCCTGCGGTGGCACACCGTCCAGGTAGTAGTAATATCACAGTCAATCCAGGACGCTCCAGAAGTCATCCAAGATAATGGTATCACTCAGGCATTTGAAAACAAATATTAATTATAGCAGGATCAGCATGCTAATCTTCCCCTTGTCAGTGGTGGCTGCTTACCTTCCAGAACAGCTCCATCCCCGGGGGGTAGCCTAGGCGATTCTTAACCTGGATTATATATATATCCACCACCGCAAACACGATAGAAATCACCATGAACAGGAGTATAATACCAAACCGTGGGCTGAAGTAAATCAGCTACACCAGTGAACATCCATAGCCCCGCTAGATAATATACAGGAGAAAACAGATAGTGAAGATCCACTAAGGATTTCTAGATTCACATTAGTAATGCAGAGCATGGGGAGGATCACACTCAGACACCCACTAAAAAAACAGCTCAAGTGGCCGAGTGGTGGTATATAAAAGCCTAGCCCTGATTAAAAAAGACAAAATTAGCATAAATCTTAATAACCCAGTACAGCTGGGCCGCCAGTAAGGTAATCAGATACAGTTATATACCCCAAGAGATAAAGAAACCGCGAATCTTCATCCATACAATCACATTATGAAGGGAATGCGAAATTGTAAGACTAATAGTCATAATTAAAAGATACCAGCCCTGAGCAAGTGCATGGAGAAAGATAAATATTCCATACCCAAGGACCAGGACAAGCTAAGTATCTGTATCAGCAGGGAATAGTATCTCTTTTATCTTAAAGACACAGCGCAACCCACCTCTGCCATAATAAGTCTGTGCAGGAGCACCCCTTTTTTCATATTAGCTGCGGTAATAGTAATCATAATAATAAGAAAATCTACCAGGAATTCTTATTTCCATATCTCCATGATAAGAATATCCAGGTCTGTAAAATACTAGCCAGTACTTAGCATCATATCATCACTCTCTATTTAACTATATTAATATTAAAGTGGGAAAGACTCTCCATGAGTAATAAAATATCTTTATATTATCAAATAAGATTAAGTAATCTTTGCCGCTCAGCATGATCAACTGCCGTGGGCGACGGAGAGTAGGAGAAAGGTTAATTAACTATAACTATAACTAGCCAGAAATCTAGAGAGCGCCAGCCAGAGCCTCTTACTATTCTGACACTATTCTCAGGAGTAATAGTAACCTTCAGAGATCCAGCCGCGCCTGAAGTATGGACTTTGCCACTCCAGATAAACAGTTGGATACCATAACTCGTAGAGTACCATCCGGCCTTAACCATTCATGGAATAAGCCGAGACTGTAAGATTCCAGAAAAATCCATTCTTACCTACTATACGTCTGGCTGCAGGAGCCAAGGCTGATAGAGAAATAGACTTTCTGTCTATTTACTTTTAGTATTATATGAGATAAAGAGGGCACAGCGACCATGGAAATAGTTTTATTTAATAAAATCCTACTTATATATAATAGGTTTCTTTATCTTGCAGCCTAAAAACATTTAATAAGTAACATCCTCCAAGCTAATAATAGAATAATAAACTAGATTAACCAAAAAAGTACTTCCCGACATCCATAAGATTTATTTATATTAATAATCTGTAATCTACAAGATTATTAGGAGAGTTACAAGTCCAAATAACTTGACCATAATTATACTACCATTTTACAGGTTTTAATTTAATATATATCAGGTAGAAATATATACTTCTATAATTATTAAGCTATATCTTAATTAATTCTATTTTTTTTTTCCTAGTCTTTTTAAATATATCTAGCTCTACTACTCCAACTCACACTCTGTATTTACTGATACAGAAAAACACACTAACAGGCATTAGTCTCTGGCTGAGATAAAAGGTTTATCTCCTCACATATTAATAATCTGGGGGAACTGATATAATCAACTACAAACTCAAGAACACTGTCTAGAAAAACAAAAACTTATCCTTATTAATATATAACCAGAGCATGCTTTTACTGAGTCCTTGAGAAAGCACAACATGAATCTCAGAAGCTTTAACAAATATTATAGTCACAGAATCATATAAGATTAATATAGATTCTATTACAGATACTTTAAGAACTCTGTAATCTCTGATAACTTTGTTAACTTCAATCCAACACCCTGGCCTGAGCTAGATAGATAATTAATATTAAGCAGGATAGACTCCTGAGAGACCTACTAGAAAATATAGAGACACCCCAATATGACTGGTATAGAATCAAGGCACTGGATATGGCCCTCGCTCCGTGTTTCCATAGCTTATGTCCGGGTTGTGGTGGAGCTGGAGCACCAGGCGCTTTAGATGATATGTTTCAAACCTGCCAGGTGTGCTCTCCCTCTAGTTTCCAACAGTCCGGAAGGATTTAGGCGTATAAACTACTGCTGTTCAGGCCGCTGCGTTGACCGGAAGTGACATTGCCTTGCGGAAAGCGATGCTTACGAGCGTCAAGGCGAAGGGACGATAGATGAGGGATCATGAATAATGTAGCATCACTAAGAGACTATGGTAGCAAGTACGGAATTGTATTGTTATAGTTTACGAACTGATTATGCTCTTCATTGCAGATTCTTTGAAATCCGTGAACTATAATAAAGATCTTTCACATTAGCCGAGAGAAGAGATGCAGAAGATGAGGTATTGCGATAGGTTAAAATACTGGTTTCCACATTCTTTAGGAACAAGAGAAATTGGCAATATTTGAATCTGACATTGCGAGGGATTTTCAATGGAGGGCTGGGAAATTCACTTGAATATTAAATGGTCTCCCGGTTATGTTCTGCGGCCAACTCGCCAGAAAGTCATCCTATTGCCGCTGTACAGTTGCCTTTTCGCTGATCAGCCCCGTGTATTGCAACTTGGGTAAGCGCATCCAATTCTGTAAGAGGGGCAAAAGAACAAAGGAACAAGGAGCGGAAGATCTAACTCCCTAGTGTATGTAATGTTCCCGGATGATCTCCCTGGCCAGCCGCATGAGAGTCCGTCGGTGCCCTGGTGGGCCTATACCGGTGGCAAACCTACTTGACTACCAGAGGAATAGGGGATGCTCAATAAAGTGGATATAGTCTTTCATTACTGGACAACTCACCGTGGAGAACCGATGGCGGACGATCAGCAGCATCTGGCGGTAGGAAACAACCGTTAGAACCGGCTGGTTGCAAGAACAGGTGGAACCTACCATGCGAATATACTGTGATAGGGATTGCTAAGAACCATATTAAAAGTATAAAACTGCCGCTCTGTAGACTGCTGCTACTATAACATGGGAGTTCAAGGTACTATAGAAGAGATGGGGGTTACATGTGAGTTAGACAGCAGCCCGGCTATAGGTTGGAGAGCCATCTTATCTATAAGAAATATAATCCTGAAATCTCAAGCAGCTTAAAAGATAGACTAGTCTAGTACTAATTTTAGTTAATAACTCTCTCCTCTATAGGAACAGGACTGATGATATTAAGTGATAATATTTATTAAAATTAAATTTTCTTATTAGGTCTGTCTATTATTATATTAAAATCTTTCATATTAGTTTTTCCCCATGACAACAGAACTATAAGATCTGAATTTAGGATTACTACTGCATTTACATCCCAATTAGCTTATATTATGGTTAGTATATGGTAGGCCTGCTGGGCGGGTACCTGGATAGTTATTATTATATCTGGCATAGCTTATCTTATCATTTATTATAACATGCCTCTACTTCTGCTGTGAGGCCTCGGACTTTTACTGTCCGCTGTTATTATACTTTATGTCTATTAGACTTCAGTGTAATTTGGAACCATGATTAGTACCATCATGCCCGGAGATGCTGAGTACTGGATTATAGATATCTATCTACTGTATAGTATTGCCCTGTTCCACGTATTAAATAGTCGCTTCTACCATGTGGCGAAGCTTCAGGAGGGCTATATTATTTATAATAATAATAGAATTTATTTATCCTCCACCTTAAGGGGTAAGCTTAATATTATAAACTAGTTCTATTATCTTATCTATACTACTAAGATCCTCGTACTCGTTATAATAATATTACTCATTCAGGTAAAACAGCCACCGCCTATCTTTACTGTTACTATATTAATATTTAATTAAATTAATAGATATTCCTCACAGTCTTAATATGGCTTATCTCTCACAAATAATACTGTACTTGGAGGATTCCAGGCACCGAGGTCCATGGGACCGAAATGCAGTAAAAGTCAGAAATAAGCTAGGACTGGGAGTAGTAAGAAGGTCTCTGATATACACCCAGTATATATATAATAAGAGTTACATGCTAACTGATATGCAGGTGGCCTGGCGTGTTTAAACAGGTTTTCTAGTTATAGATTATGGACTTTATTATTCTCTGGAAATCCTGTTATATCTATGATATCCATAGCTGGCGAGTCCAGATAATAGGCTGTATTATTACTAAGTGAGCTAGTCAGACTAATAAGGCCTGTAGAACAGCTAATCTGTTATATAATCTTTCTATAATATTAATATAGCTTATTATCTTCTATATTCCCGCCATGGAGCTGGTTTATCAGTACTGGTTACTGCTTTAGTAGTAGATACTCCAAGCTGTGACCAACAGGAAAATAGAAATAAAGAAGAAAAAAGTAAGAAAATATAATTAATATCTATAAGATCTGTCTTTTTATTTAGATAATAAAGATTTTTGCTGTTCTCCTGCTATACTAAGAGATAATATATTATTATACTATTTAATAAGGGACCTTTGATTTAATCGCATGGTAAGAATTTAATACTAATTTCTTTACTAATAGCATCATGGCTTGCAGGTTAGTCTTTATTCTTGTTGAGCTTATAAAGTCTGGCTAGGAATTATAAAATAGATCTTTTAGCTCCAGCTCCAGCTCTCGGAATAATATATTTATTAAACATATACTTAAATATATCTTAGTATATATTCCTGCACCGCTGCAGGATTTCTCTGTTTATTAAGATTTTTCTAGAGAGAATATAGCTTTTCTAACTTAAATGGTAGAATAGAAGAGCTCACTGTTTTATATAGTCTAAAATAACAAGATTTCAGATTATAGAAATCTTACTAACTTGATTTAAAAGTAGTTTTACTATATATTATATATTTACATGACCTTTATCAGTGATTACTATATACAGTTACTGATTAATATCTCTTCGCAGGAATAGAAGAAGCTGGAGAATATTTTTAAAAATCCTGCTGGGCTTCTTTTCAGAGACAGGCACCCAGCTAATCTTATTATTCTATTTAATTTACCAGGCTATGGCCCCACACTCTCAGCGTCTCCGATTATCTCTATAAAAAGCGAGTCCGGTTCGCTATTCGCCGATAATAACCAGGTGAAATACTGGGGCGAGGTTCTCTAAATATTCAATGCGAAGGTCTTTAACCAAGCCAAGAAGAGCATCAAGTACCTTGTTCTTACCAATACATGGCCGAAGTTTGTTTGAAGCCGCGTGATCATAGCTGAGATTGATTTACTGGCGGGGAGTAAGAATCCTGTATAACTGGTTCCGGAATGAGATTACCAGTAATAAGAGATTAGACTGCATGGTATTTATCTAGGATATTAATAAAATACTATAAATAAATATATTGGAGCAACTTATCAAATCATATATTTTATTAGAATATAGCACTGCCTGGGTACTATAAAGTTGAGCAGTAGGTCAAAGACTATCTGACCAGAAGCCTAGCTATATAATATAGATAATATCTTCCAGCAGGCAAATAATTGACTGGCCTTTATCTTACTATTATATTAATCATATAACATGGTCATGGAAATACCATCGCACGGGTGGGTAATATTACATGACTAACCTATGTACTCCATTTCTTACCAGTCAGGTATGAAACCATCTGGTGAAAATTGGAAACTCTGGTGAGTGATATTAATAGTTCCTAAAATCTAAGAGCTGTTATCTAGACCATGGTACCTTATTCTTGGTTCATGGCTTCCTAATATATTTTAAAAAAAAGAGAATAAAATAATTATTAGATTATTTATTTACTATCTCTCAATGATATTTAATGTGTCAGTCTTCAAATTCAAACTGTATATATTTGAGCAATGTACGGGATAATCCTGTCTATTATTCATCAGCTATCTAAAATTATTATTCTTCTAACCAAAGTATTTTTCTATATCTGTCTTTTATTTATCTATCTTTTCAGAAACCAGCTGACAAGCTTTATACCTGCCAGATGGGTGATAAGATTAAAAATCTACTAGTAGAGCTAATACTGAAATTATCAGCTCAGTTATTATTAACAAGTCTGCTATTTCCTGTTTAATACTATATTTTACAGGTACTGTAACAGCGCTTGGAGTGCTCTGTGTTTAAGTCTATCTAGAAATAGTACCCCCAACTTGTCCAGGCTAACGGATGGAATTATGCTGAGAATGTGGAATTGCACATGGTATTCAGAGCACTGGACTGAAAGTGTTATACTCATTCTATATCTGGATTATTGAAAATTCCAAAGAAGGGGGTTAATCAGTTATAAATTAATATTAAGAATATTTATTATATAACTGTATACTATCAGCTACAGGATCATAGTTGCCTTTTACAGCAGCTTCACTCAGCCTGAGAGTTTACAACCGTATGGCTGGGTGATCCGCAGTGTGGGAGAAAGATTAAGCAGTATTAAATATAGATTAACTGTTTTTTTAGTAGATGGATAGCACGTACCCATTATCTCCAAGGTAATCTGGCTGTGTGTATAGAATATAATAGAATATCTGAAGACTGATATTACTAATTTCTTTTATGTAAGGTGACGCGGAGGCTCTTAAAAAAAATTAATTATAATTATATTAAATAAATAAATTATATCTTATAATTAAGCTTTCTGTTATTATATATAAAGACATGAGCAGCATATATATAACATGAGAAATAAATATATTAGCTTAAATATAAATAAGACAGTTGTGAGAATATATATTTTAAATAAATCATAGATTATATTACTCTTAATCTAATAAAAATCAGCCTCGCAAGGATGAAGATCTCTATTTATTCTAATATATAACCTCCAGTTAATTCTTGATTTTTCCAGCCACTCGACGAAGAAGGTGATAAAGCATATTCTGAATTATAGATTAACTTTTTTTTTAGATTATCAGTAATATGTGTCTGGAATCATTATTATTGACTATTGCAGTAAGCAGTAGAGGATCTGGTATATATCTATATTTTATTAAGTATACCAGGATACGGCGGTGAGAGTTATATAACAGATATTTTATAATAGAATTAAGGCAAGATTCCCTGGCAGTTAAGTCAGTCATATCTTAAAGTAGTTGCAGCTATGTATATATAATCTTATACTATTTTAAGTTGATGTCTTGTGGGCAGGGATGCCTATTATCTAATAATCTAATATATTTTTCATGATGAAGAGGATTGTAACACAGGGTAATATATTTATAACTAGCCATGGCCAATTGGTAAATATAAATT